ATCCCAGCCTATTCCGTCCACCAAAATCCAAGCCAAGATCTCTCCCCTGCCAAAATCCTCTCGAGCCTCAAAAACCAGCAATAAAAGCCCTTCCTCTCTATCAAATCTCACCAAATTACCTCACAGCTTCAATGCAACCAACTAATGTGATAAATCTGCTTCCTCTCCGTTTATTTAAGAGCATCGACCAGCCAATCTGCTTCTCCACAACCAAACCTCCAAACGATAGCTTCTTCATCTACTTTCCCTTCTACTTTCCTCTTTTTTCCTCTACTTTCCTCTTCTTTGCAAGATCTATTGCGATGTCTGAAACTTTGGTCAATAACCAAGATAACCTGAATATGGGATGGAAAGAAGAGGATCATGAAGCCATCTTGGCCGACGCTGTACCAAATCAACAAGGAGGTCCTTTGAGGCTTGTGGGCAGAATGTTTGGGGAAAGGGATGTCAACAAGAGAGCTATGATTGGGATGATCAATGGGATCTGGTCAAGCTTCTGCGAGCCGACGGTCCAAGATATCCACAAGACTGCAAACACCTTTGTCTTCATCTTCAATCGAAAGGAAGAGATGGATCGGGCCTGGGAAGGAAGACCTTGGCAAGTCTCTGGTAACACCCTGTAGTTGAAGAAGTGGGAGGAGTCTATCCGCCCTCAAAACATCAACTTCGACTTGGAGGACTACTGGATCCAAGTGCACGGCATTTCGGATCATAAAAGAACAGCATCCAACATCGAATCTGCCATCGCAATATTCCCAAAGATCCATGGCATCGATATGAGGGGGCTCAACCCAGACAGATACATGGAATTTGTTCGTGTGTTTGTCCAAGTCGATCACACACGGCCTCTTCCTCCGGGGTCGTACTGCACCACTGATGGAGTTAGGGAATGGCTGGGCTTCAGGTATGAGAAGCTCTATATTCTCTGCTATTACTGTGGCCGGCAAGGGCATGTGAAACAAGAATGCCAGAAGAGAAGGGAGGATTTTGAAGGGGGCATTGCGGCGGTGCCGGAGGGGCGATTCACTCCATGGATGAAAGTCGGAACAAGAGCCCAGCGCCCTCCTCCACCACCGAGGGGTCGCATCATCCACCACTCCCCTAGAGACGCAGGATCTAGCTCGGGTTCACCGAGTTTTATCGAGAATCAAATCTGGGTGCCAAGGATGGCTTCTCCAATGACCGGGTCCATCAACCTTGGCTCGCCGGCTTCTCCATCGGAAGGGATTTGGGGGCTCGAAGTTCGAGGCCCTCCAGGCTTCACTCCTCATCCTTTTCCAACGGACAGGCTATCCCACAGTCCGAGGCCTACCTCGGGAGTCAACTCTCAACGGCTCCAAACCCCTTCACCTAGACAGAACATGGTGGTCTATGGGTCCAGCCAAGGTATCTCTCCTCCCACCTACTCCTACTCAGCAAACCATCCTCCTACGGCGAGGAACCTAGAGGCGGAGATGGAAGCAGCTGGGTTATGGAACAAAAGCCCACTCCACCATTCTATTTATCAAAGTGGGCCAACTCAGGCCCAAGTTGGCAAAACTGAAGCCCAAGGCCATCAGATCCATGCGCAACATTCAGCAAATATGGGCCAGCTCAATAATCATCATGTTTCTCAAATGGTCCATGAACTCAGCCAAAAGATGGATATGAACCTTAGGCCCAATGACTATAACTTCTCCCACCATTCTGGCCAAGTCGAAGATATCCAGGGAGATGTTAAGAAAAGAAAACATGGACAGCCACTTGACTTTGAGGGACCGTATTTCTCTCTCGGAGAGGGATCGATCAAGCCTCGCAATGCAAGGATTAAAGTGAAAGGAAGAAAACCACAGCAGCCCAACCTGGAGAAAGAAGTTCATCAGGCAAGTGATCATGGAAATGAAGGAAACTGGAAGCTTGCAAACTCTGAAGCGTCGGTGGTCGGCTATAAACCACTCGGGGAACCATGACTTGCATTAGCTAGAACTGTCAGGGGATTGGGCAGCCTCGGACAGATAACCACCTCACGAGAATGGTGAGAAAATTTCGTCCTTCTTTGGTTTTCCTCATGGAAACAAAGAATTCTAGGTCTACTATGGAGGAAAAAAGAATCAGCAACAACTTCTACAGAGGAGAATATGTCGAACCAGAGGGAACAGCAGGTGGTCTGGCCATATGGTGGACAACAGGATTCGATCTGCAAATTTTGGATCGTGGTCAGAATTATTTTGATGTTTTTATCAATTATGGTAGTGGATTTTTCATGACCTTTGTACACGCCCCTTATGTTGCTAGTGAAAGAGGGGTGTTTTGGAATTTTGTTTCTAGCTTTAGAAGTAATCCCAATGTTCCTTGGGTTGTAATCGGAGATCTTAATGCATTACTTTTTTACTACGAGAAGTGTGGAGGAGGACCGATTCGGCGAGACTCTTCTCAACCCTTCAAGAATTTCGTTTTCAAGAATAGTCTCATCGACATGGGATTTAAAGGTCCTAGATACACATGGACAAACAAACGAAGGGGGGATTTTTCTGTGCGGACTGCCTACCATGGGATAAGGAAGCACATAAAAGATCAGAATCAGCCGCCGGTCAATGACATTAACTTGCCAGCTGATGACGACAAATGGAAATGGCTTTGGTCCTTGAAGCTCCCACCCAAGATCCGCTTCTTCATGTGGAGATGGTTACGGAATGTTCTCGCTACGAAGCTTAACCTTCACCGTCGACAGTGTGCTCCCAACCCATCCTGTCAGCTTTGTAGTGGGGCAGAGGAAAATGCTCTTCACTGCCTCTTCTTGTGCCCTCATGCAGCAGCAACCTGGAATAAGGTGTTCCCCTCCCTTGATGCCCCTCTTAATCTTTCCTATTGTATCTTCTCCCTAAGGGAGGAGGATAACCTAGATGTGTGTCGAAAGAAGATCTTCTGCTTGTGGAATATCTGGAAAGCTCGCAACGAGTTCGTCTTCAGAAGGGTCGTTCCATCCCCAACATTGACTTCCATTGGCGCCTTCAGAGATGTTTTTGAACCTTGTTACAATCCTCCTCCCGTTCCTTCATTCACACAGCCTATAATCATTCCACCACAATCATGCCCACCACCATTGTATCCTCTGAAAAGGATTTTGTGATGGTTCTTTTGATCATGTGACACATGAGGCGGCTTTTGGATTAGTTATTACTAACTCCAATGGACAGATTTGTGATGGAAAAGCTAGAAGGATCTCTTGTTCTTCCCCAATTGAAGCATAGGCACATGTAATTCTTGAAGCATGCCATTGTGCACTTGATGACCCGTCTCCCACAGTTATCATGTCCGATTGCAAAGTTCTGGTGGACGCTCTCAACGGTCAGTCTGCTGATTGGCCTTGGCGATGCTATGCAGCCCTGTCCTCCGTTTCCAGAATCTTGCATCATTCGAGAAGGATTCGTGTTTCTTTCACGAGACGTCAAAACAACAAATATGCTGATTGGGTTGTGCGAAATTGTAGGCTCAATGGCCTTCATCCTGAATGGCTTCATGTTCTCAATGTTGTTTATGTTCTGTTGTAACCTTGCTCTTTGAGGAATGAATGAATGAATCCACTTTTTTAAAAAGGGCTAATACCACTGGGAAACCCGAACTATTAACTTTATGTCATTTGTGTCCTAAAGTATTCGACATGACATTTGTGTCCTAAACTATTTTTCCGTTAGAGTTGACTAGCGTTGACCGTTAGTTTTTAACAGAAAGTCTAGTCAGCGCTTATGTGGCATCTGACATGGAATTTTAATATTAATTTTTATTTACTTTTCCATCTAATAAAAAATTATAAATTACAAAAAAAAAAAAATCACACCTCTCACGGCCCCCTTCTCCGCCTCCAACCTCACCCCTTTCTCCTTCCTCTGCAATTTTCCTCCAAGACTCACAAGCTTTCACCAACATAATCACATACAGCAACCAAAAACAAAAAAATACACATCACCCAGTTCTGCAAACGAGCCCCAAGAACTGCTAACCATCTGACAATCCAGAAACCCTCTGAAACACCCATTCGACTCCCCAGAAGCACCCAGCTCCGAATTGGGCGAACTGCGGGCCGGGGGCGGGGGAATCGTCGGGTCCATGGCGGACGGGTCGGGGGATCGGACGCCGAACCCGACCATCGCCGTCGATTTCGTCTTCAACTACTTCAACTCCATCACCTCCTCCAGCCTCTTGCTACGGATCCGGTGCCGTCAAATTTCGAGTCCCCACACACACTCACCAAATCCACCACCTTCACCATCTGTCGAGCTATATACCTACAGAGAATCCACACCAGAACCTGGGTTCCTAAATCACACCAACAGAGGCGAGATGAAGTGAAGGGGCGACAGCGATTCCAAGCTGAAAATGCCCACGAGGTCGTCGCGAAATCGATCGAGGAGACGACGAAGGTCCTCTATCTCCCCTTTCGTTTCCCCATCTCGTCGAGGAGACGCCGGCGAAGATCGTCGCGAAAATCGATTGGCCCGAAGGGGTGGAACTCATAGTCGGCGAGGAAGAGAGAGGCTTTGAGGTGGGAAGAGGAATACCTCAAAACCTAATTTCAGATCCACTAATTTCTGGAGATGCGAATTTTGAGCAAACGAGCAAAGTGGGTTCCCAATTGAGCTCAAAGTCGCAGGGGATTCTTTCAGCGCCAACGTCCGGATTCAACGTAGGGATTTGAAGGGTCGGATTCGGCGGAGGATGGTGGAAGTGCTGGGGAAGAAGATTTTTGTTAAGAATTTTTTTTTACTTTTTTTTGAATTTTTTTCCATAAATAATATGATGTGTCAGCTGACGTGGCCGCCAAATATGTGCCACGTAACCAATGGTCAACATTTCACTGATGACCGTTAGGTAAACCGTTATCTTTAACGGTCAACAAAATTGCTAGGACATAAATGACACACAACAACCATACGTCATGACACAAATGTCATATCGAATACTTTAGGACACAAATGACATAAAGTTAATAGTTCGGGTTTCCTAGTGGTATTAGCCCTTTTAAAAAAAAAAGCATAACTATGATACATTACATGTAATGCAATACAGATACAGCTGCTAATATTTTGCTGCATTATTAAAGTACACAAACATGCTTATATGTTATCCAAGAGGGTTTCTTAAGTTTCAACATATTAAAAAATTACGAGACCTCCAATGTACTTGTATGATATCCAACTCAAGTCTGTATAACTACATCCACCACCACTAACGCGACTACTGACAAATAACCTTCATCTATGATACGACTTTCTCGTCCTAAACTTCCACACCAAAACCTAGAAAAGAATAAACGAACCAACCATCGAAAAACAACCTATATCACTTCTTACTCAATGACCTTTGGGACCTTCTCCCTCCTCCCCTGCACCTACTTCTTCCTCGTCACCAAGTTCTCCATCCCCATCCATGGCTGCCTCATTCTCTTGCAGCATGTTCATAAGCATGTTTACCTGTTCATGTAGCATCGTGTTCTCCCTCTCCACCTGAGACCTTTTACTCTTCTCCTGGAGAAGCTGCAGCTGCAAGTGCTCGAGAACCCGCGAATCCTCTTCCAACTGCTCGTTAAGCCCGTCGATCTCCCGGTCCTGCAAAATGAACGAACCCAATTACCGATATGCCGATTTTAACCCAATCCCAGTAGTCCATACCCAAATGGAATTTGTATTTCTACGAAATCAAATTCAATTGCTTTGCCTACAAGTAGAACGGGAAAAATCCCTTTCCTATTACCTTTCTGTTCATTTCCTGTACAGCAATCCTGCGCATGCTCTCAACCACATCCACATTCACAAGCTTCCTCTTCTTGCCGATCAGCCATCCTTTCGGGTAGCTAGCAGCATCGAAGTCCGGCGGTGGAAGCAGTGATTCAGCAGACATCCGCTTCCCATTGAGATTGAAAGTGGGTTCCAAGGGCTCAAACAGAGCCCTGCGCCGCTCGGAAAGCTGCTGAGGAGTTTCATTGGTTTCAGTTGCTTCCTGCATCTTTTCGTCTGCTTCTTCTGTTTTGGAAGGAGGAGGAGGAGTAGTGATGGTGCTGTCGTCCATTACCTTGTTGAAGCTCCTTCCACCGCCAGCTGTTTGGGAAACAAAGTTACAGTTCTCTAGTTCCATACACAACATTTTATTTTAGAGACACACGGCAGCAACAAAGAAAATATAGAATATTTGATTCGACAAATAGTTTATGAAGACAGCGTAGTAATCAAAAGCTTGACATTTGTCCTTTTGTGTTCACGATCAAAACGAGGGAAGAGTCCACATTGAGATTTTCAGAAGAACAAGTCCTAAGTTAACACATTTGTTGAGTAATTGTTTTGTGTTGGAAGTTTCAAATAGGGAGGAAGATTAAAGAAATGAAAATGTAAGGGAAAGGGAGACTTTTAGCAGAAGGGAAAATGATAAAATAAGGAACCAACAATTATGAGAAGGATGGATTGATCATCTTCCTCCAGGCACCAACTTAGATAGAGGAAAATTGGCGTGCCAGTCAAGTAAACAGCAACTTCTATCTGTATTTCTCTCCAACCAAACAGTCTTTACGCTTCAAAGCTGACAAAATTGGAAGCACACACCAAGCTTTTCCATTTCCGTGACGAAGAATTGCAGAAACACAGCATAACTAAAGAAAATTTAAACAATTTGGAAGTAACCCATCAAAATTTGATTTCAAGAAGGCAATAATTCTTCATGGTAATCGTTTTTCCCCCGAAGCAAACAGAAGAAGAGAAAGCAGAGAAGAACGAAATTGAAAGGAATGAAATAGGGAAGTACCAGATCTCTTCCTGGAATTCCAATGGATCCTGGTGGAAGTAGCAGGAGAGAAGCCATTCAAAGCAGCAGACATCCCTCCGCTTCCATCTATGACATCAACCATCTTCTTCTCCTCTTCCATAATTCACAAACAAGGAAAAACAAAAACCCAACAAAGAAAAACAGCAGAGAAACAGAGGAAACAGAGCGAGGACAGAGCCCTTCAGAAATCGGACATCAAGGTGCAGCCTTTCTCGGCTCTCCGAGCTCTACCTGTGTGCCTGACTGAGAAAGAGAGAGAGTTTGGCGTTGTGAGGGCGGGGGTTTAGACTTGTTTGAGCCGTTTCGTCTTCCCTCTCTCTCTCTCTCTCTCTCTCTCTCTCTCTAGCTGGCGTGGAGTTTCTGGGTGTTTCAGCAGCTGGCAGGAGAGGCGAAAATGGGGAGGGAAGGGATGGCAATTGAAGGGAAGGGTTGGGAGAATTAATTGAAGGGGAAGTGTTGGTTTGCTGGTTGTCTTGTTGCTGGGCTTTGTTGTTGTTTGTGAGCAGAGAGACGGAGGGCGGAGGCAGAGGAGGAGACGGAGAGGCAGATGGATGGATGGATAGATAGAAAAGAAAGATGCTACTGAATGAAGGAAATTGGCGATGACGATGAGGGACCACCAAAAAGCCCCACTATGGCCCGCTTTTCAACGGCTGTGATTTTTTCTTGTTTTGCCAGATGCTGTGATTTTAATTCTACTTTAAACGCCTCGTTTGTTTTTTTTTTTCTTCTACAAATAAATAACTTTTCTTCATAAACCAATGGGTTGGCAAAACTGTTTATTTCATGTGGCTATTCGCCCAAATTTGACTCAATCGAAACAATTTTTAGCTAGTATGGATAAATCTCGAATTTGAGTATTGCGCGAATGAATGGATAGGTTTTCTCAATATTCAATATGTATTTTATTTAGAAATTTTATTAATTATTCTCATCATATTTGATATTTTATATATATAATCAGTTGCTATCATATGTTATCATATCATATTACACTAATTCTACAAATTAAAATTCAAAATTCGATATCTTAAAACTAGTTTTTGAAATGGGTGCATTGAACGCACTCATTTTTATGAGTGCACCGAAGTAGTCACCATATATATATATATATATATATATATATATATATTATTTTTATGCGATTATGTTCTATTCTATTAATTTTCTTCATTCTGGTGATTTATTATTATACTTTCCCCTTATATAATGTGAATATATGAGTAACTGTTTACATGTTGAAATTATGAAGAAAAATTACTACTCAGGGATAATCATAAATATCCGACATATATAATATTTACATAAAATTATGTTTTCCTCTACTAAATTTCTTCATTTTAGTGATTTTATACAACTTCTCGTCTTCCTGGTCTAGACTAGGACATTTTTTGTTTGCATTATTTTTAATGTTTTTTTTGTACTCTATAACATTTCTAGTTCAGTTCATGAGGTTTCTTGTGTGGTTTCTTATCTTTTAGATCTGCTTTAAGAGGGTTGTGGTAAGCTTTATGAGTTTTCTGATATGCTTCATGAAATTTTGAGTTAGTTTTGTAGCATGCTTTCTACATTTTCTGGTATATTTTATGTCATTTCTGCTTTACTTTATTTACTTTATGAGGTTTGTGGTGTGGTTTGTCGTGTTTATGGTATGGTCTGCTTCATGATCTTGTGGTTATCTTTTTGAGTTTTCTGCAAAGATTGAAATACCGTACTGTACCGGCGGTTCGACCAAAAAATATCGTATCGTACGAGCGGTATTAAGCGGTTGAACCATGGTTAAACCACGATTTTAGCATAAAATACCCTATCGCTGACTTTTCCGGTACAACCTCCGGTACAATATTTCAATCCTTGATTTTCTGGTATGCTTCAGTAAACGTGTGGTCAGGTTTATTAGGTTTTTTTGGTCTACCTTATGAGCTTTGATATGATGACTTTTGTACTATTTGTGGTGCTTTCTACTACATTTTCCTCATCTACTTTATGAGGATTCTGGCATATTTTATGAGATTTAGGGTATGATTTTTGGTGTTTTATAATCTCGCTTAAGTTTTATTGTCTGCTTCATGATAGTTGTGGTCAATTTTATAAGTATTCTAATATGCTTCAGAAAACTTGGAACCAATGAATCTCTCTTCGTTATGACTGGTACAATCTCGACTATTGTTGCCGCTCCCTTTATCATCAATCGTCACTCAGATCTCCAACACTAACTCGAATCGCCTCGACAATATCCAACACGAGAATAATCAACCACTCCTCCTCAATCACTACTTCACTAGTGTGATATTCAAAATATTGATGTATCATGTATCCCATTTAACTTCCATTTCTTTTTGTTGTTTACGGTAAACATGAGCTTAGCTGACTTTTGTATTAAGGGCACGCTAATGTTGAAATATTATGAATATTATTTATTTATTTATTTTATAAAAAAGGATCGGTAAGTAAGATTCCAACTACCAAAGAGAATTATCCATTTATTCCATTCCTCAAAAAAGAAAACTCTAGTGGATACGAATTTGTATTGCGGATGTTACAAAACGTATTTCCGAGAAAATATTGTTGGGCCTTTTGACCCATATAAGAATCAAGCATGATTAGACCCAACCCACCGAATACGCGTCAATTACTGAGGAGTTTTTTTTTATATATATTTTATCCTACAAGAAGTCGATGAGATATTTTTTTATTCTTTTAAGTGGATGAAATATGGTTTATTTAAGACTTAGATAATTAACTAGTTACAGGACTTTCAAAAAAGAAAAACTAGTTACATGAATTTAGTCTTTCATTTTGGTGTTTGATTACACTTTATATGGTGGCGGGGTTGCAAGTTTGGTACAGGTATATGAGATTTATCGAATATCATATAATATTTGTTGATATTTGGTATTATCGAATACACATATTATTTGTTGGGATAGAGATTGAATTGAATTTCAAGTGTTATTTGGTCTTATTAGCGATTATGGGATTGAGATCAGTAATATACGGAAATATCGATTAATATCAAAATATAAGCAAGTGTACATTTTATCCCTCTCAACTAGACTCGCTATATAGCTCATTTTCTCGTTATTTGACAACCCATATCAAGTTCATTTTGTCATTTATAGTATATTTGTGGGTTTCTTAGGTGTTCCAAATTACAGTTTGTTTGTTACCTTAGTTTGTTGATGTGTAGTGCTTCCTAGACACTGTATTTTTCTAGTGTAATAACCTGAGATTTTTATCGTTTGTTTCGTACGAGTGTTGGCACCACACCGTTGTTAATTTTTATATATTTTGAGATGATTTGTAGAATTAGTATATGCGTTTGTATATTTGATTAGTAATTTTGAAGAAAATTAATTTGGTATTTGGTATATCAGATATAAAATAAAATTTTAACGATTAAGATACCGAATTAATTTTGGGATTGATATTGAGTTTAGAGTACTGTTTGGTATTCGGGATTTCAGTATTTCCACCCTTACTGGTAAGCATAGTACTCGTCTGCAATTTTGTTCCATTTCAACGAGCCATCCGCCGTTACCTTGAGGATCAAGAAAATGGAACCGTAACCAACAAGAAACCGCTCTGGGTGCAAAGAAGACAACCAAACGAGAACATAGAGCACTGAGATGTCTCATGAATTGGTCAGCAAAATCAATCGCCTGAGGTGGTTTTCCCTTTCAGAACCCCACATCCCGGCAGCAGCTATCTTATCTACAGCTTTTCACCTTCCCCCAGTCAATCTCCCTACCCTCTGTATCCCATATATGACTGACTATCTGCTGCTACAAAATTTTCACAGTAAAAGAAAGGACTTTGTTTCTTGTTCCCTCAAAACATTAGAGACTAAGAGAATAACTACTACAACTAACTATTTGATGGTATCACCCATGGCGCAAGGCAGGCACGGAGGATTCGATGCTTGTTCTCGAGGTGTTATGAGTTCCAAGCAGTAGGTATGAAACTGGTGGTGACATGGCAGTACAGATACGGGTGGTGGATTTCTCGGCACAGTCATGGCGCCTTCCGGTGAGAATGGAAGATCCCTCTTGCATAGCAGACACTTGAATTCGCTTGGTGCTGGATCCCCTTCCGGACCTGCAATCACCACAGGCAACGACTCTCTTGTTACAACAACAACAAACTTCTCAATTACAGAAAGATAGATACGAGCCACCATTTTCAGGTGCTCTGGAAACACCAAGGGGGACTGGTTTGGCTTAAAATCTTCTGCTGCCAAAAGTTATAATCTAGTAAGCCGAAAATCTCAGACATGGATGTTAAATTTAAACTTCTAAAGGGGCAAATCTTCGGCATACCTTGCCACCTTATGTGCTCCATACTTCTAGTTGAGGGTAGAGTGCGCGACACAGTTGGACCTCGAGGCGGACGATTAGCAACGGTTGGCGCCCTAGCTGGTGGATGCAAAGGAACAGCTGAAGCTTGAGATTGTAGTACATCTACTCTTGGAGCTTGCGGCGGACAATGTGCAACTGTTGGTGCTTGAAGTTGACGGTGTGCAACTGTTGGTGCTTGATGTGAAGGAACAGCTGGAACTCGGGACTGAGGTAAAGCTTTTCTTGAAGCTTGAGGTGGATGTGCAGCAACAGTTGAAACTTGGGGTGGATGAAAGCCAGCAGTTGGAACTTGTGTTCGATGCAAGGCAGCAGCAGTTGAAGTTTGAGGTGGATACAACGGAGTTCCCAAATTGTATGACGTGCCGAATGGGGCATTCCATCCAGGAGATGTTACTGAAGCAGTAGCACTGGATGGTGATGATTGAACCAAATTGCTAATCGATCTTTTTCTGCGTGCAGCTTGTGCAGTATCAGATCGAGATTCCAGCATGCTCCTTTTCCGAGATGGTCCAACAGAAACACTACCAGATGCAGCAGCAGGGGGAACATTAGATACAAGATTGGGAGGTGTACTTGAGATACCGGCTCTATAAGTTGTTGTAGGTGGACCTCTTGATGGCTGTACTGGAGCAATGGCTTGAGGCAAACCAAAATCACCTAACACAAACAGTTATCACTATATCAGAATGCTTGTAACATATTATTTGTAGAATTCATGGATATACACTGAAATCATTATTTGATGACCAACACTAGTAGTTTCGCTATGCATACACTCATATTGCATTGGAAACTTGAAAACTGTGTCTAAGCCTTAAAGGAGCTAGATAAATGGTTCAGGTTTCACCAAAAAAAGATAAATGGTTCAGGATATGAGTTAAAGTACTAAACATGAAAACATACTGTACATGACAGTTTGAGAAATTCTAGCCAACAGTAATAATAACATTTAAGTACTGTATCAACTGGAAGAATGTTCCAGCTTAACTTGTTCCGTTTAATATACACAGGCCAGCACAGGTACTAACTGACAAAGCAATTTCACCAGGGCAACATATGACTTATTTAGCATTCATCAGCACAGTCACAAGCTTTGGGGAAAATCTAACATGGAGTTCTGAGGACACAAGAGTGATCACCTGTCAACTCCTGGCTATTGTTGATGCTTCTTGTAACTCCCATAGAAGGAGAGTTGAAATAAGACCCCGGTGAGAAGTCATTATGAGACCCTAAATAAGGATTCTTTGTTTGGTAGGAATCAGATTGCATGCCTCTGTGCATCAATGGATTTGAGTTTGACGACGGGAACCTAGCCAAACCAGACTGTTCATAATCACCAGGAAAACTAACCTGGTTACTGTTATGTAGTCCTGGAAGCTCAGCTAAAGATCCCCAAAAGCCATCGGTAGCGTAACTATCTTCTGATGCTGGTGCAGCTCTATTCCCTTGAAGTTCCAGATCCCAATTGGATGGAATCTGATAAGCATGGGGCTCGAATACAAATGGTGCAAGGGTGTCAGCATCACTGTTTTGTGGTATTCTGGAAGAGAACCCCATGTTCTGTAGGTTGTTGGGAAATCCACGAAAGTTTTCAATTTGAAGCATTGCATTTTCAGCTGGTTGAGGAAATGCACTGAAATTCTGTAGTAGCCTTTGATTATCGATGTTCTGAGCTCTACGAGGGACTTCATTATGATGAGTGGATAATCCACTCTGAAATGCAACTCCACCCACGTTTGGTTGTGAACGGGTAAATATGTCCAGATCATTCCCAAAGTTAGAAAAACTCATATCATACGAACTGAAGGCCCTTCTATCAGTGACAATCGCCCCAGTGCTGCCTACACTGGAAATGGCATCTCTAGGCCTATTCTCCATGTAAGATCCTGCTCCGAGTCCAAGAGTTGGAACATTTTCAGAATGCATCTCAGCCTGAACCGATTCATTAGCACGTATTCCAGGTATAGTCTTTGTGTCAATAGTTGAACCACCACTGACATCATGTACTAGCGAGCCTCGGTCCATGAAATGTGTTCCCGCCATAGTACTCCACCCAATTCTGGACTTCTCAGGATCAATGATCTGTGGAATAGCCATCATCTTGTCTTCTGGAATCATGGCATTCTCAAGATAAAGGTACCGATTGTGCCGATTCACATTCTCCTCAAAAAATGGGATACCTGAAACTAAAATGCATCAATCAACATGACACTAAACACGGAGATTGAGAGAAGATAATGCACTAAGAGACAATTCACCAGCTGTTGATGTGGCAGGCAGCGACCCCTCACGGAGATAATTTTGAGGCAACGTCATAGGCTTAACGTCTGTCTGGGAACACGGAGGCATACTGAACTCAGACTTTGGAGCCCCTTCAACATGATTTTGAGGCATTGACAGTGCATATGCGTCTGGGACATCAGGGAATAGAGACAACGTATTCCGGGCTCTACCAGTTAGACTGGCTGAATGATTTAGATCAATGGATTCAATTTCTTCATTCAGATCAGGAGCAGAAGTAGGAAACCACACTTCTTGTCCTTGATTCATTCTCCGGCTTGCCATTGCATGACTTGTTCTAAAATATATAAAAAAAAAGAGCACTGGATTAAGAGTGCATAACCAGAATTCAAGAAGGAGAAACACCCTGACCGGTATTGAATCTCTTTTACAGTCTAGAAATCATATTCTCATTTGTGAACAGAAGGCAAACCAGTAGCAAGAGAAACACCATTTCTACAACAGAAGAAGGATGAGGAAATCATAGAATGCGCATAACAATCTTCTCTCCGCTACAGAACCAGTGAGACAGGAACGAGTACTTAATCATACCAGCAGCAATAATTAGGAACCCTTGAAAACAAATCAAAATCACGAGAAATGAAGCGGGGTTCAAAACCCCTCGTATCCAAGAAGCAAAGATGAAACTGATCATAACCACAGTCCCAGAGAGATACGCAGATAGCTGGAACGATCTTTCTCCATCCGTCTTCAAATGGGAAACCCCATCAACAGTCCAAAACCCAGAACCACCAAACAGTAAAAAACCCCAAAAACGGAAAAAGAAAAGGGGGAAAAAATCGCCGAAGAAGAGAGTTAAAAGAAGAGAATCGAGAAGGCTCCTAGCTAGCAACAGTGAACCAGAGAGATAAACCCCCGCGACAGGTTCCATTGTTACAGCAGAACGCAACCGATTAAGGAAATCAACAGCGAAGCACACATGTTCCAAATCGATGATCATCCATCAATCAGACTCATCGGAATTCCAGAGCAAGAATCGGAAATGAAAATACGAGACTCACCGGAGTCGGCGCCGGAGAGAAGGAGAGAGTGATCGGTTCCGAGGAGCAAGAGAAATGAGCAGAGCGCTGTTTTTGGCCTTTGGTGGGTGTGGGTGGTGGTGAGGGGGGGTTTGGCGCTTTGAAGTCTAGGGCTCTTTGTCTTTGGGAAGAGAAGAGGAGAGAGGTCTTTTTAAACGGTTCGGTTTTGGGGCCCAGTTGGCGTTCGCTTTTCCCTTCCACGTCGTCAACGTAGGGCCCACCGGGAAGGAAACCTCCTCTCTGGCTTCGCCGCTGACCTGGCCATGTGGCAACCGGACGGTTCTTCTTCTACTCTCAGACTCAGTCGAGGGCCTACGAGAGTGGCATTATTCCGTAATTACTAGTGAACTACGAGGGGAGGTTAAGGGACTGGAGATATTTGGTAAGTTCCCGCCCTCGCTTTGAGTTTGGAAATTCGGTGGATCATGGATATTTCTCTTTTTTATCAGACTGGGCCAGGCCCAGCAAGCAGGCGGGCTTTAGCCCACTTTAGGAGTTGGATTCGACAGCCAGTGTCAGTGAGTGTAAAAAGGAAAAATAGAAAGGAAAGAATATATGAGTTTATGGGTAGAGTTAAAAAAGAGGATTTGGTTTTGGTGATAGTTAAATTGATGTATTGTTATAGATATGTAAGGTTAGAGCAACGGATGGGCCGCCCACGGACTAGCACAGTAAGGTTAGAGCACAACACGAGCATGGGTACGAAATATATGGTCTGGCCCGACACGAGCACGAATAATTTACGGGCCATGTCGGGCCTAAACTTCATGGGCACGAGCACGGGCACGAAACAATATGTTAGTGGTCCGTGTCAGGCCTAATATTTTTAGACCTTCTTGAGTATAATAACGAACATGACACGAAAAGAATATTTATTTGATAGAAAATAAATATAAAAATAATTATAGGTTTAAATATTACAAAATACAAGTACAATAAAAATTATTTACTGTTATTAGAAGTGATCATAAAGATATATACCTACTTACTACCATAAGTAAAAATGTACGAAGTATTAAACAAAGTCAAATCGCACTTGCCATACTTCCAATTTTATTTTCCCACTTATTTATTATATTTCTAAAACATTTTCGGTTAATACTTTCATTTTCTATTCAATTTGTTCCTTCTTTTTCATTCCCTCTTTCATTTTCTTCCTTCTCATTAAGCACACATATGAGCATGGCACGAACACGAATAGACTCAATACTATTCAAACCATACCCAGGCCCGGGACTAGCAAAATTAACAAATGGACTAGCACGATACGACAGGAAAACTGATGGGCCGTGCCAAGCACGGCACGAAATAAATGGGCCTGAATCGTGTCCATGTCGCCCAAGCATGGCCAGCGCCCATGTACATTTGTGTATCAAATTCAAAAAAAAAAGGGTAGGGGGAATATAGGCATTGTAACAATCTCACCTAAAAGATGAGATTTAATTATTCCTTAAGTGAGTGATATCTTTTGTCACATCAACCAAACAATGGTTATATTGTTCGTATATCAAATTTAAAATAATATAAATGAGGAATAATAAACATTATAATAATAAGAAGGGTTAATACAATATATTAGCCAAAATTATTAAACAACGGAAAATAATAGCCACAACTATTGAAATACAAATTATTAGCCACACGTTAACTTTCTGTTAACAATTCCGTCAGTAATGCTGACTCAAGTTTATGATACTGAGTTGACTCTCATGTGACAGTCACCATATCATATTTTCTAATTTTAATATTTAAAATAAATTTCTAAATAATTAAGAAGAAGAAAAATGTCGCTCCCTATTCTACTTCCTCTGCCCAGATTTTCCAGCTCTTTCATCCTCCTCCTCTGTGGCTCTGTCCACGCCACCGGCCAGACACGACTCTGCATCTACTCGTCAGCGCTGGATGGCCTCTCCCGCAATCGCCTGAATCAGATGGAAAAGAGGACGTCATATTGACTCTAATGCTATTCGAGCTCTCTCCTTCTTTCAAGCTCGGTTTCATGGCGACAAATCTTGCGATTCTCCTTAAAATCCTCCGACAGCGGGGTGTGTCAACACCCTTAGTTGGTCGCACTAGTGCACCACCATCTCATTCCCGTGCAGATCTCCAACACCTGTTCCACCGTCGCGGGGCACCTAATGGGATTGGGTTTCATGAAAATTTTTGGGAGAAGAGGCTCAACTGGGGCGAGCTTTAAAAATTCCCAATTTTTAAGTTAAGATGCTGCTCCAATTTTTACCAATGCTGGGATGTCTTTTCGTGGAAAAGGTCTTGACTCTCTATGGTCCTTGTTCTCACATTTTCTAGTTCTTCTACCACTTCTCTCTCCTCCTTGCCGCACCGCAATCCTCCTTGTCGTCGAGTGCCGCCGCACAGCAAACTTCCTAGAAGACAAAGGAGGGATTTTTTTCCAGAAATAGCACTGTTTTTTTTTCTTTCAAAAATAGCACCCAACCCCAAAAAATTCCAAAAATAGCACAATTTTCCATAAACTGCCACCCCACCTAGTGGTTTACACGAAAACCGCAGGGTGAGGCGCGGTTTTCATTGAAAACCGCACAATTAGGGGACGGTTTTCATGATCGCATGGGTTCAAACCGGTTTGGTCCAAAACCGGTGCCCCACCCAACGGTTTTGGTCCTCTCTTTTTTTTTCCGAATATTCCTAACCTAGGTGGAAACTTCAAACGAATGTATCTTTGTGCCCGGGTATCCGATCGTAGCGAATTTTTTTTTATTTTGCATAACTTTTCGAGATATTGCAAGCTGCAAACAACCATAAACACTTTGGTCTCGCCTTCGTCTCGGAAAATGTCGTTTGCTATCCCGAACGAGCCTTTTTCGATTTCATCAAACTTTGTGCGGCCATAATTTTGTGCTCCAAAATCCGAACGTAATGAATTTTTTTTATTCCGCATAACTTAGGACTACAACTTTTTATCATAGACATAATTTCAGAATGTACAAGGATTTGCGAAAAGGGAAGGTAAAGTTATTCCCAAAACCCTGTGTATCCAAAAATAATTCATGTGTTGAAAATCCATTCCTAGTAAAAATTGTAGTCCTTAAAAAGTTATGCGAAATGGAAAAAAATTCATGATGTTCGAATTTTGGAAAACAAAGTTATGGTTGTTCAAGGTTATTGCGGATTTTTAGCGTTCAAGGACTAAAACTTTGTCAATATGTAATTGTTTCAATAGAAGAGTTGTAGTTTGGTGGTGTAGATGTTGTGATAAATTTAGTAAACTATTTATTATCTTGGTTCGAACCCCCACTCCCACAACATGCTGTTTTTTTAAATCTCTACTAAATAAAAAAATTTAATATGGGATGATGGTGTTTCAAACATAGGACCTCCTTCACACAATAAACAACTAAACCAATTGTGCCAACACAACTAATGTCATTTTTTCGGAAAAAAATATTATTACAAACCGCCGGGTAGGGGTGCGGTTTGTAAGCAAACCACCCCGGCCCCATGCGGTTAGCAAAACCGCCCCTTACCCGTGCGGTTTTCATTGAAAACCGTGTCTCACCATGCGATTTTTGAAAAAAGGGTGATATTTTTTATGATTATTGTGTGATGGATGTTGTGATGATTAATTATTGTGGATTGTGATGACTTGTGACTTGTGGTGGATTGTCATGCTTTGTGTGAATTTCGTCGATGCTTGTGACTTGTGAGTTGATGACGATTTTCAATTCAAACTAATTATGTAAAGAATGTGTTAGAATTCCTTAAAATTTCTTTGAATTGAGTTTCAATTTCTCAATTTGTGTAATTATTTCTGTAGGGCGAGACCTCCGGCTCCTCGTGGTTGACATGACGGACGAAATGCCCCTACTGTTGAGACTGCTCCTTGTGGTGGGAGACCTCCGAATCCTCGAGGTCGTGGTGGTGCGGGTGCTACAGCCCCTCCTGCTCAGACCCGGGGTCGTGGTGGGCGTTTAGGAAGTCGGCATGTTGAAGCTGTTGAACCGTCTTCATCAACTCCATCGAATCCCGCCCCTGTCAATAGTGAAAGTATACATGCTGAGACTCCAACTGTAGACACGGGTGCTCCGACTTCAGCTAAAGTTAAAGGCGACAACTTCGACATAGAGAAATGGCTGCAGACGGAGGGTAAGGCTGAGTGCTGGAAGGATTTTAAGAAGGTGGTGGTTGACAAGTATCCAATGGGAGAGTGCAAGCATTGTCATACTCAAATCAAAGCTCATCCTTCCAAGAACGGGACTTCTACAATGAATAGCCATCGACATTCATGTTTGCCTGAGGTGGCAGCATCAAGCAATCAGACTGTTTTGAACTTGCAGACACCGAATGGTAGTTCCAGTCAAGTAAGTCTTTTATGGAAGTTTGATCAAGCAAAAGCTAGATATGCCTTGATGATCATTGTGGATGAGTTGTCATTTCACTTTGTGGAGAGGGAAGGGTTTAAGCAGTTCATTCTAGTTGTTCAGCCACTATTTAAGATACATAGGAGGAAAGCTATAAGAGATGATTGCTATCATATCTTCTTGGAGAAAAGTGCATTTGATCGCTATCATATCTTCTTGGAGATTAGGGATGACAACAAAACCCGAACCCACGAGTACCCACCCGACCCAACCCGGTCAACGCGGGTAAAACCCATGTTTGGGTTTAAACTCGTTCACTGTTCACCGGGTTGGGTTTGGTTTTAGGTAAACCCGCCCCATGAGTACCCGCTCACACCCATATAATTAATTTTCTCGGTATATTTAATATTCTAAACAACTAATCTTATTTATATTTGGAGAGACATATCTAAATTTTTTCTTTCTAATTGTGTAGAATGAACTTGATGTTATGGAGTGGAGAGTGAAGAAACTTAATTGACAAGGAGGAAGAAGTTTTTAATTAATCGCGTTATTTGTGGATAATTTGTGATTTGCTTCAATTTTCTTGAGTTTTCTAGATTTGTGTTGAACCATTTGTATAGTTAATTTGTGATTTGCTAAAATTTTCTAGAATGGTGTTTTATATATGGATAATTTGTATTGGGAGATTGATATTCAACTTTAATTTTGATAGGAACTTGTTATTGTAAATTTTTTACGACAAAAACCCGTGGGTACCCATGAACCCGCGGATACCCATCGGGTTGGGTTGGGTTTGAGTTTTTCAAACCCAATGGGTTTTACCCTGGGTTTTTTTCACTGATAAACCCATGGGTTTGAGTTTGGGTTTGGCAAAACCCGACCCAACCCGACCCATTGCCATCCCTATTGGAGATGCAATCTTATTGTAAAATGGACTTTGAAGTTTTAAAAGTTTGAGGTCAACTCAAATTCTCGGCAAGCTTGGCCTAGGGCAGAGGGATATCCCATTTACCCTCTAAAGAAAAAGGCGATGCCAGGGAGACCAAAACAGAAGAGGAGAGAGGAAGCAGGTGAGTTGGAGACAAGGTTGCATAAGGGTGGAAGGTCTTCTAGTATAGGAATGTAAAAAAAAGGAGTGTTGCTGCATTGCTTAAACTGCCATTCTACAGGTCACAATGAGAGAAAATGCCCCAATCCTCCTACTGGAAAATCAAATTGTGGCAGAGGAAGAGGGCAGGCTGGAGGGAGAGGAATCAAGCTGGAGGGAGAGGGCAGCAGGCTGGAGGGAGGAGGGCAGCATGCCAGAGGGAGAGGGCAGCAGGATGGAGGTAATTAATCTCAAGAAAACCTTACCGAACCAGAGGGCAACACGATGGTCCATCAGCTCGACCAAAGGTATGGAAGCAGTTGATGTTTTAGTTTGAACATTGTGTAATTATTGTGTCTGATGTTTGTTTCATGTGGTATCCTTAGAGGGTCATGCACTGCTCTCACTGTCGGTCAACATCCCATAATGCTAGAAGTTGTACAGATAAGAGACAAAAACCTGTATGTTTCTCTTTATCCATTGAAGCATTCGTTACTTGTGATGGAGTACACAATCTGACTTTGGCCTTGTTTTCTTGATATAGACATTAGGAGTTGGGAACCTGCGCAGGAATTTGGTTGTTGATGGAGAACTTAGGGCTGCTCTAGGGCCTGATTCTATATATGAAAATGTTGGAGCTGGTACTTCTGCCGAGGGACTTGGAACCCAACTAACTCAGGTTGATACAAATGGAGCTCCCTCAACTCAACCGGAGTCTCAACCACAAGAAGACGCAAATTGAAGACTTGTATGTGGAATGTGTCTTTGTGGTTACTTTAGATTTTGTCTATAGAACAGTATGTTAATAGGGTGGAGGATTCAAATTGAGCTTGTAAGGTGATGTCAGTTTGGTTCACCATATTTTACATTTTGTACAAACTCAATTGAACTTATCCCAAACACTACGAAATTATCTAACGTTGTGGAGCAATGTCAATTGAGCTTGTAAATTGATTCCCTTTGGTTCACCATATTTTGCATTTTGTAAAGGCCCGATTCAGTTTGTCCCAAACAGTACAGATGTAACTCAACATTTTGTACAAGCTTCTTTTGAAATAATTTAGTTTTCATACAAGGTATCTACATGACTTGTTCTGGTAATTGCATTGACCCACAAATTGACAATTGCAGTGTTTTGTAGCAAGGAGTTGAAGTTTTACTTGTTTTTTACACAACCATACACTGCTAAAACTCAACCGGAATAGAACATTACATAACTATTTTCCTACATATTACTACACCTCTTAAACTCCCTGAAATCTACAGAATGCAACATAAACTACGACACCAATTATTATGAACATCAGCCTTGTTATCTTGGTGTCAAGGTTAGAGACAATGTTGCTCATTCTGCCAAGCTCGGAAACCATATTTGCATGACCTTCTCTAGTTCTATTCAACTCTTCTAACAACTTGTTGTTGCTTGCTTCCACTTCCATAAGTTTCGCCTTCAAACCAACTTTCTCATGGCCATGTTCAGACCACACTGATCCATTCCTTCTCATATACTTGTCCACCCATAAAAAGAACCGGCAATCATCGGTCTACAAATGGAAAGAAAGCTATTACTAAGATGAATATCATAGGTAAACAAACAACCCAATGTCACAAACAAATACAATTATTTTCCAATTTGGATAGCAGTAGAACCGCCATCCTGGATTCCTACTAGTACCAGACTTGTTCACGATGCAGGGTTTGTTACAATCGCATAGAGGCCCCACAATGTCATTTGTGTTTGCCGAACCAGAAGATCCCTCCAATGCAGACATCATTCTTCTTACTAACAACAAACATCCCATTCGTGTATCAAACTCTGGTTTTAGCACAACCCTTTCCAAAAGACACTCGTCTACAACCTAATTCGAATAGTTGACAATGTAAAGAGGCAGAGTTAATAGAAGAACTTACCTTCGCGAATTGAAGACAAAAGGTTCGTCAATCTAACCAATCTTCTTCGCTTACCAGGAGACAAACGTGTTGTTGGCGAGACAGGGGGAAGAAGGGGCGAATCGCAGCAGAAGGTTGAAGTATACTGAAGGGAAGCGACGATGCCGATGATGGGAACCATGGCAACGATGACGACGGTGGCGACGACCTTCCCTCACTTCGTCCCGTCGCTGCTCCTTTACCCAACCATAGGTTTTATTTCAGTTGATATAGGGTGAAATTGGAAAGGGGTTAAAAATTAATTAATTAATTTAAATCAATCCGACGTGGAATCCTACCTGGCGCTGACGCAGCAAGTTCCGTTACAAATTAACTCACGGTAACGGGCTTCTAGCCATCAGATTACGCGGAACAGTAATTGTGGCTAATAATTTGTATATTGATAGTTGTGGCTATAATTCCCCGAAACTTCATAGTTGTGGCTAATATATAGTTTTTACCCTCTTAAGAATCTACTTTCATATTCTCTAAGACCCATTTTTAAGGATTATCACGCTTTACATTCTCTACCATTCGGACATTGTCATCCTGTAAATGTGATTAAGTCTTGCCCAGATCTTTTTATTTGTGATGCACCATAAAAAATTTGAAATTAGTGAAAATGATAAATGATATTTTTATAAGAAATGAAATGAAATGTGGCTAGGGATAGCAATCAAACCCATGAATGCGGGTACCCGACCGCCTCCGACCCAGTCAATGCAGAGAATCCTTGCATTGTATGGGACAACTGGGCAAGTATGGGTAAAACCCGCAAAACGTTTGATGGGTATGGGGCGGGTATGGTTTTAGCCTCCCTCGCCTCATACCCATACTCATACCCGCCCCACCGAGAGCATTTCTTCACATATTAAAACTACATGGATCAATTTGTAAACTATCAATGATAGTGAGAGTAACTCCAGAAAATAAATAGTATAAATGCAATTGAGTGGCCACCCAAATCAAAACATAATTCCTTTTCCTCAAGTCTCCATTCACTATTTCACTTTTCCCCCCTTGTGTTAACAAAATTATGTTAGTTAGTTGTTACTTAATAGACGCATCAGAGTAAGATAATATTGATTTGGATTATATTGTACTCTATCTTGTAGATTAATTATTATTTTAGGATCATATATTTTGAACTGTATTAAAAATGATTATCTCTTTGTCGATTTCATGATATAGTAATTGCGTTTAATATTATAATTAAAAACTAGCTTTGATCCCGGCCATTGTCGGGGTGAGTTTCCTTTAACTATTAAATTAATTTTGAGAAATTTTGTTTATATCTTGAGACTCTCATTAATCTCACGCATACACTATGTTTATATTAATAATTTGTTGTCATACTTAAATTAATATTCATATAGTGTTCAAGAAATATTGTTATTCTTTGTGTATGATCCGAATGTATGGTTTGAGAATTTGACACGTATATACAAAACTAAATTAGTCCCTCCAGGGACACCCACGATATAGATACAATATAAGTTAGTTTATAAGTGAAAACATTCAACTCTGAATTGAGATATATTAACTTTTGGCTGAATGTATAACATGATCATGTATAATATTTCAATTTTTTATCATCACACTCACAAATCACAATGACTTGTTTATCCAATCTTGAAACAGTTGGATATAAAGTTTTTTAAAAAAATCAAACAATAGTTCATGAAATCTCAGTGCATGAAACACTCAAAATAAATATCTAAACAATATATGTCATTCCATAATTACCAAAATTTAGACTAACGTGCAACTAATATTTAAAATATTTGGAACAAATCTTACCCAACATACTCAAATTATTTATGCTATGCAATATATATACACTATAACTTGCTAGTGAATATGAAATATAACTGTATTTTTTTCTTATTATAAACACGGTGAAAATTTTATATATTGTTTAAATATTTTATTTAAGAAAAATACTTGTAAAGGAAGAAAAGTAAAAGCACGTTGAAATTGGAAAAAATTCCAAAAATGGAGGAAGTGTTCACCGAGGGCTGTTCCTTTTGTTGGTTGTATTTCTTTTATTTTTTATAACTAATATGATTGGCTAGAGGCTGTGTTGACGTGGAGTCGTGGACACTTGAGGGAAGGAGAATTTTGAATTTGTGAAGCCTTTTTTTGAGAATCCCTTATAATATTTTTTAGATTTACATGTAAAATTTTAAGTGTTATAATGTTGGATGTATAAGGTGGGTATTACTATGACCATAAGTATCTAAACCCACAGATATGGAGATAAGTTTGCAAAACCTTCCTACATATGAATATGAGGCGGGTATCAATTACGAACATTTAAGAACGGACGATAGAATGGTATAGGCAACCCCGTCCCCAATACCATCCCGCATGAATTAGGTAATATCCGGGGATTGCATGAATTAGGTAGTATCCGGGGATGAAATTTGCGTAACTTTTCTATCTCGCAATTTGGCCAAGTTTGACCCGCAAATACGCAAATGAACACCAAAGCACAAAAATCCACACCACACCTTAAACGTCGTTTCAAAAAAGTTCAGTACCAAAATGTCTTTTGTGAGACCTTTTCGAGCTGTCGTACTTCGGATAAACGCCAAATTCAATCGAGTGGTGGCTGTGTCATCTCATCATCTCCAATCTCCGCCGCTAAGATCCGTCTCTCAATCAATCCTTCTCCGCGATGGCGGCTATATCACTGTTCTGTAGCTCCACCAAATTCGCCACCACCATCACTCCATGGCGGCCCTAACCCTCACTTCTCTCACTAGTTCCTCCCTTCTCAAACCACCCACTCCTAACCTTGCTTTCTTCACCTCCCGAGCCGTTTCCAAACCTCGCTGCTCAAACACAAGGCCCGTCATTACCGCCATGGCCGCGACTCTCATCGCCGTCGCTCCTCCCAAGGTGGTACCCGCCGTAATCGTCGGCGGCGGCCGCGTAGGCCAAGCTTTACAAGGCATGGGCACCGGTCAGGATTACATTGTGAAGAGAGGCGACCCTGTTCCCGCTGATTTTGAAGGTCCAATCCTCGTTTGCACGAGGAACGACGACCTCGAGGCTGTTCTCGAAGCTACCCCAAAATCCAGATGGAGCGGTACCCACTTCCGTTAAACTCCGAATTACTGTTCGGTGCTCTGCAGTAGTAATTGTGGTTTCTGGGGATTTTTATTCTGCTCTTGTTGTTCACGATGTAGCAGATTTGGTGTTTTTCCAGAATGGGATGCTGGAGCCGTGGCTTGAGAGCAAAGGGCTGGGCGATTCTGCAGGCCAGGTGCTGGCCTATTTCGCCGTGGCGAAGCTTGGAGAATCTCCCACCGATGGGAAAACTGATACCAACCCTGAGGGTCTGACCGCTGCGTATGGGAAATGGGCGCCTGCTGTTGCCGAAAGGTTGCTCGCCGGTGGACTGTCTTGCAAGGTAAACACTAAGCTTAAATGGGTTTTCATTCTTTTTGTCATTTTGGCCTTTGTTAGCTTCAAGCTTCATGTTTTTTCTGGTTCGTGATCGTTAGGTTCTTGATAAAGAAGCTTTTCAGAAGCAAATGCTGGAGAAGTTGATCTGGATATCGGCTTTCATGCTTGTTGGAGCTCGCCATCCAGGGGCAACTGTCGGTTATGTGGAGAAGGATTTTCGATTGGAGGTAATGGCTAAATTGATAACGGTGATCAGTAAATGGCAGCAACTGCATTGATAGTGTTCTGAAAGCAGCCTGCTTTGATTTTTTTCACCTCAGGTGTCTAGCCTGATTAAGGAACTTGCCTCTGCGGCCGCTGCTGAGAAGAACATAGTGTTTGATGAAAATATAGAGGAAAGATTGTGTGCTTATGCAAGGGCGGTAGCCCATTTTCCCACTGCAGTTAAAGAGGTGCAGAATTCTTTCCTTAGAATCTCTTGATTTCAAGTATACATTTTTTATGCTTCCTATGTGCCTGTGAGTGTGGTAACATTGATGAACAAACTAATGTGCAGTTCAAATGGAGGAATGGCTGGTTTTATTCCATCTCCGAGAAGGCGATTGCTGGAGGAAAACCTGATCCATGTCCCTTGCACACTGCATGGCTGAAGGAGATCAAAGTCATCTAACCAATTCGCAATGAGTAGTAATCAACAGTGTATTTTATCCAGTTTAGCTTTCCTCTAGTTAGTCATATAGAGAGAGGGTTGAATCGGGGAATTTGCCTTGATTTCTTTGTGTTAGTTGTCTGGTTACTGAAGTACTCTAATATATGAATCATTCAAAATTATTGCAAGAGAAATATCATAAACCTTTGTTCAGAAGCCAGTTCAAATACTGGAATCAAACACAGAAATACTTCATAACACACTACTGAAATAGTACTGCTGGATGCAACTTATTGAGAACAAACGACATATTTGCAAGCATCTCACGATCAATCAACTAAAGCAGAAATTGGCGTATCAGTTGCGTCTCTAGTTCTTCAGGATTTCGTCGACTAAAGCAGAAATTGGCGTATCAGCTTGCGTCTCTAGTTCTTCAGGATTTCGTCGACTAATGCAGAAATTGGCGTATCAGTTGCGTCTCTAGTTCTTCAGGATTTCGTCGGCTATGGGGAACGAGAATGTTATATCCACAGATAACTGAGATACATACAGTTACAGAGAGAACATTGCAGAAATTGTAGTTAGGGCAGTAGAACTACATAGAGAAAAACATAGTGGAGAAAGAAAGAAACCTTGATGTTTTTTTCATACCTGAATTTTCTCTAATTTGTCCAACCCAAGCTGCAATGGTTTAGTTATCTGACCATATTTCTGCAGAAGAGCAACTGCATCCTGTTTATCACCTATGACTTGAATCGTCAAAATCTCCCTGCTCGGGCTCTCGACGGCCTCTTCAACCTTTCATTCGTACACAAAAAATTCAGCAGACTCAGCCATGGATGTAAATGTACATTCGTGAAGTCTACGGAAAATGTCTCACAATGGATTCCTTCTCAAACAGCCAGTTGAACTGCACAGCTTGGCCTTTCCTATATTTTCCACACGCACAAAAACAAACAAAAACTGACTTGGGTGCCAAACAAGGGAAGAAAATTTTGAATCAGACCGAGTGAGTCAGGTTCCTGCTTACTTATCCATGAGCATCCTGTAGACCGTATCGAACCGAACTGAAGCATGTTGCAAGAAATGAGACATATATAGTCTCCAGCATGCTCTCTAGAAGCAAACCATGCAGCCCAAATCCACTTGTGCCCAGTAATCACCTTCTCAAAGGCAGTTAAAAGTGATGTAATCACCAACAATATTACCTTGGCTTCTTCCATAATTGCATGGAACTCTTGCAGCTCCTGTAAATAACATAAAGAAACACAAGGGGGAAAACCTGTGGGAACCTGAAACTGAAACATAGTGAGTGATGATTGGTAATTTAGAAAACCTGTCTGACAGCAGAGGTTGAACCATCAAGAAATGTAATGGTATGAGGACCAATGCCATGAATACATTCATGTATTCATGGCAGGTTATGTGTGTGAAGAAGGAATCAAAATCTAAGAGCTCATTTTGTTCATTGTTGATGCAGATTTCCACTATCAGCTTCAGGATTTTCTCAAACCTGTTTGGTTATAAGGAAAACAAGTGAACAGCACAGATAAGGTCCTTAATGTTTGAAGAAACAACAACCATTGACAAAAACGAAAAAAGGAGATTAAACTTGAAACCCGTATTACTTAGCCTCTTGAATGTTCTTGATCATCACCATTGAAGTCCCACGATCCTTAACTATGCGCTCATTGTTTGCTAGATTAAAAGCAGCAATCTGAGGGCCATCAAAATCATGTGCTTATTGTAAAACAAACATCAGATCAAAAGATTTCTTCTCATATCTTGGTGGACTTGATTATCAAGTCGAAAGAGAAAATAGTTGAGTAGAAAGTTAAAATGTCACACCCCAGAATTGTAGATGAGTTGAATGACACGAACGTGTGAGACTCTGACATTGGTTGATCTGTACTGATCGTCCGTGGGAAGATTTTACTCCAACTTCTGAAACCCATCAAAATCTTCCATTATGATTCAACCCAATAATGAAGAGCACTAGGAAACATGTTCCTAGTTTGTTGTTTAGGCAATAGAGAAGGGACTCAGGGAGTAGACCAATACATTTTCTCCGAAAATTTTAATTCGTCCAGTTGCCTCGTCATTGCATATCCCAATGAATGATTCAATAGCCTATGATAGGACATTATTTAGTTAGTTGTTCTTACCTTGTAGCCAAAGAGTGAATCTTCATATGTCTCATATGGACCAATGGTGACATCAATCTTAGAGTCTTGCACCCTTTTTGATTCTCCAATTGTCATGAAAACTGCCTAATCACATCAAAGTAGTGAAAGGGTTGAGCAGAATTCAATGGAATTTTACCAAATCCATCAAGGAAATATCAGATTTATAGTAGTAATTTCATTTGTGAGAAATGCATCAGCCTTGGCATGCAACAACTTCTTCGAACAACAAACACCGAAAGACACACATTAAGCTTGTAAGCTACCACGACATGAGATGATGCTTTCAGTAAGAAGGCACAGAAGTATTCATAAGATGTGATGAGACATTGTGGGCAAGTCTGTATTCATTACCTTGGAGTAGTAGCCAAGTCTCCAGCTCTCTGGAGAAATTCAGCAGCTTTGGTAAGGGAAGAGGCATATTCTTGAGAGTAAGGAACAATGTAAATATCAGGATTAGTTTCACTCTGCCTCCTGATGACCCTGAAGAAACCTTGAGCCTCCTTTTGCTGTGATTCTGGGAGATTGCTCTTCCATTATTCAAACTCCTGGTTTATTCCCAACATAAGCCATTCAATGATAATGATATAACATTAAATTTTTTTGGACCTTTTGTTATTGTGATTAACTAGTGTTTGACATGAAATTGTAGCCTTTGGTTAACCAAAATATTGCTGTTTGAAAACTGATAAACCCCTTATATTAATCACCATTCCATCAAAGTACGAAATCGATAGACATGTTCGAACTTCAAGCAATTTAGATGAACTTGAAGTTGTGAAGGAATATAAGTGAATCTTATCAAATTCCTATTCAGAGTTATCACATTATATGATGAAGCCACTTGAACCAAATTATCTTAAAGTTGGCCACTCATGATCACATAAAACCCATCCTCCAACTTCCACCTAAATAGTAGACACATCTCGTAATTGAAGTACAATTTCAAGGACCTTGCGGTTCAGGTTAAAATATGAAGAGACACATATCTATGAACACGGTTGATAATTCATGCCTAAAAACACGAAACAATTATTCATCACAACCACCAAATGCTGCGACAACCTCTGTCGCCCTCTTCTAATTTGCAGCAATGATGCCTCAAGGCTCAAACCATCTCACTATAATCTTGGCTGTGCTATATCTTTGTCTGATCATCATTCATCTGGTATCTGCGAGCCAATAATAACCCATTTTATCAGCACATGATCCATTACATATCAGAAGCTACAACGATTGAGAGCCATGGAAAGAAACTACAGGTATTAAATGAATTTGATGGTGCTTTCAACTGCAGCAGGCAACAAATCTGCACACTTCATTTTTCTTGCCTCTAATTGCATCACTATTTGTTTATGTAGAACGAATATCCTCACCTATCCGATTGATGAATTGCAGAGGCTAAAGTAGTAATGGGACGATCGTTTGCAGTCACTGCTGCAGAATTTCTGCGGCTAAAGGGAAAGTGGGAGCTATATCCACTGGCACCTGCAGAACGACATATATAAGTCAAAGAGGGAAAAAAACAAAAAAGGCCTTAAAATACATTGAAGTGGATTAGCAGAATCAACTGCGAGGACGGATGATATAACCTAACCTATTTTACCTGAATATTCTCCAGCTTTTGCAATGCCAGTTTCAATGGAGGAGTCAATTTACAGTATTTTTGGAGGAGTAGGCTTGCAGCTCCTTTGTCACCTTTTGCTTGGATGGTAAGGATCTCACGGCTCAAGCTTTCAACTGCATCATCAACCTTTGCAAAATACAAAAAGCCCAAGTGTTCTCATCAAATTGACTTGTTCACCGTTTGATACTAACCTTTATTGATGTGCATGTATTTATGTCATTTACCTTGGTGAAATCGACGGAGAAAGTTTCATTAGGATGCAAAACGAACGCTCCTTTCTCGAACATCCAGTTGAACTGCACCGCTTCCCCTTTTCTGGGAATATCAACAGCAATTACGGGGAGATTAATGATGTGAAGTAGAAGGATCATTTGATGATAAGAGAAGTAATGTCCCATCAATATAAAAGTGAAACGGGAGGGTCATGGCTTTAATGATATTACCCGTGAGCTTCCTCCAAGCCAAAGCGAACTGAGCGGAAGCATCCTGCAAGGAAAGAAACGTACATCGATTCCTCCAGGCTCCTTGGAAGTAGTCCCTGCAAGCAAGCAAATCCCAGATAGAAAAAATTAGAGAAGACATCTCGTTAAGAGTATTTTTGCAAAGAGCAGCAATTTCCCCACCTGGCCCACAGCATTTTCAATTTCAATCCTTCCGCGAAGAGTTTTATTCCTATGCAACTTTACAAATTAATGTATCATGGCATACTCACTGTAGTGTATATACAACTATTACAGGAACATTAGCCTAACGTTTATTCAAATAATTTTTTCATGTGATTTTCTTGATGCTCCTTAAACACTTTGAGCTGGAGGTTATTGACCAGCATGATCAAGTATAATACGGTAGACATTCAGGAACTGGTGTGTGAACATTCCAACGACTGTCGAAGTAGGGTTCTGAACTTGCAGTAACAAATGTTGGTGTGCCGTTCAGCATTTGACAAAGGAGTCAGGCCAAAGCCAAGTTTTAAAAGCATCGTACTTACCTGACGGATCAAAAACTTCAGTGCCCAGAGACCAACTATATCAGCTTTAGCTTCTTCCAAAGCAGAGTGGAGTTCTTGGAGCTCCTGTAATCAAAAGAATAACCCCATTGAAATGAACCATATGACCATGCAACTGTAGAGAATTTGAACGAGGAAAGAGCAGAAAGATGTCCATATTCGTGACCTCAAGACGAATGATCGAACCAGTAGATGTGTCTTCAAATCAGGTTACCAGATTTTGAGAGAGAAGGAAGAAGATTAAACTTATTCGGAAATGGTGCACCGTTCTAATATGACTTGTTTCATAAGCAAACAATAGTAGAATGGGGGGAAAAGAATGATTAAACTAACCTTTCTTACAGTTGACTTTTTACCATCTGGAAGTGTTATGGTGTGAGGTCCAATACCGTGGCAGCACTCATGGCAGATTGTATGTGTAAAGAATGAGTCAAAATCTACAAGTTTGTTTTGTCCCGCAGAAATGCATGCATCAGCTATAGGTCGAAGAATGTGCTTGAACCTAGGCAACACATTTTATCCAGGTTAACTCCAAAACCAGACATTAAAGTTACAGCTAGAAGATGGAGGTTTGAATGAAAGAGACTATACTTTGCCTCTGAAACATTCTTAAGCATAACCATTGAAGTTCCACGATCTTTCACTATTCGTTCATCATTCGGTAAGTTGAAAGCAACGGTCTGAGGACCCTTAACATCCTATAGTAAACCCAAATCCGTGAGCCTTAAATTATCAAAATTTGTATACACCATTGCAAAATCTGCATACTGCTACAAGCCTACAACTCACCCCAGCATTGTAAAGTAGCCTTATGACACGAATAGGAGCAACATGAATGTCTTGTGATTTGTATGCATTATCCATTGGAAGATTTTGCTCCAAAACCTACGTAGGTAGGTTCAGTGATAAAAAGCAGCACCAAAAGGAATACTCATACTGGCATACTGGCATACAAATCCGCCAAAATCGGAAAGAGGGAAGGAAGGTGTAGCTAGTAGCTTCAGCTGTAAATATAGACCTGCAAATTCTCCCCAAACATTTTCAATTGAGCTGTAGCCTTGTCGTCTCGGATTCCAACAAATGCTTCAAATGTAGCCTACAAAATTGACAATACAAATCAGAAACTAGATTTTCAGTGTTGCATAACAAGGCGAACTTTTAGAGTAAATCTCATGGGAGGTTACCCCAGGGAATGAACTTATAAAAGCATAAATTAGTAATATTACCTTATATCCAAAAATTGAATCTTCATATGTCTCATACGGACCTATTGTTACATCAAGCTTAGAGTCCTGAACCAGCCACACAAAAAACAGCCAAATTGTGTGAATTTATGTTCAAAGTTATATGACAACTGGACACTTCAATGCTACACGGTTTTCTGTCGAAGTCCCTGAATTAATTTCTCTCCCATGGTAGTCCCCTACGTTCTCGGCGATTACTAATTAAGTCCTCACTGTGGGTTTCCATTAGATTGTTGTTAAAGTGCTCCCATCATGCTGCCTGGGTCCGCACAAAATTGGCTAAAAAATATATTGTCGGTCTACTCATTTGATCACGACAATGATCACTTACGAGTAGCAACCGATCCTCGACGTCACATGCCTAATCTTAGTGTCAAGAAACTATACAAGGTAGTCCCAAAACTCAATTATTGCTTAAAAAATAGAAGTAAAGGTTGCTTTACCTCAGAAATGATTTCTATTACGAAAAAGGAATATTCCTCCAGAGGAAAAAGGACAAATAATCGGATAGTTCCTAAGATGAATCATTCACTTGAACCAAATCAGTCCTTACTTTGATTCATACACTGAACTCCTCCAAATCCAGCCAAGACTAGCCTAGACTCTCAATCCCTACATTTAGCCCAGTGAAGCCACAAAGATTTCCTATTTTCCACTTGTCCTTGATCAATAGATCATGTCCCCTAGTGGTAGTGATCGGATGAAAACATCCAACTCAGTTCTTAGGTTCCAATTTTGGGACAGCATCACTTATAAAAAGAATCACTAATTATGCACTTAAAACTATGTCCATGGAAAGCACAAGTTGTAATGTTCTAGAGGTGGCTACAGAAGTCACTGTAGAAATGTTAGCATCAGTAGTAGCACTAACCAATTCCATCCAGGCTATGTCTGAATCATAATAATCATTTGATAGGAATGCATCAGCCTTGCTATGAAGTAACCTCTTCAAACTATAAACACAGGAAGAAAATTTCAATAAATCTCATTAAGAACAGGTAACACAAGTGAGAATACTGCTTCAGAAGACAGCGTACCTTGGTGAGCTGGCCAAGTCGCCTGCCTTATGCAAAAGCTCAGCAGCTTTTGTGAGGAAATACTTGTACTCTGTTGAGTAAGGAACAGTAAACAGATCCCCAGTATCTGCCAAATGACTTGTCTTGCTAATTGTATGATCCGAGGAAGAGAAGCCTTCACTATGCCTTTTGATGACTGTGAAAAAACTTGTCGCATCATCTTGTTGCGACAACTTGTTCTTCCACAACTCGAATTCCTAACAGTGGCAAATTAAAATAATGTATTAGAATTTAGAATCAAGAAACCAAGACCTTGTGATAGGTTACTGCAAGAATCCAACATCAGAGAGAAATATCGTCAGGAACTTCATCTAAAATAAGTCATTATGGTCCATAATCAGCGTCAAGTTCAATACCATTTTGTCCATATCTGGAGGATAGAAGTTTGCTCCAGGTGGCTTGAGTGTAGGAAATGCTGCTTTGTACTCTAGACCCTTCCATCCACTCACTGTCTTTGTGGCTTCAGGAATCAACCTTACAGCTGAGTCTTTGGTCGTCAGAAATGCCTGATTTTCATCAAGGCATGACCTAATGATAAATGAAGCATAACAAACAGGGATCTCACTTATAGTTCACTCAGAAACTTTGCTCACTTGAGAATAAGACAATACATCAACACCTATTATTTCCATCAGATACACTAGTGTACATTAACAAAAGACAAGTGAGGCCTCAATGGATGAAGAGATGGAAATTTTACTGTTAGGGATGATAGCTTGATAGGGTTATGGCATCACATCAAGACATAATAGAGGTAGTTGCAGGTGCACGGACGAAAACACAGGTAAAATTAATAAGAGCAGGCTGAGCAGCCAGAGTAAGACTTACCATGGTCCCTTGTTGATCATATAATATTTCCACTTTGATTTTTCCACTTCTGAGGCATCAGCATTTACATTCAACCAATCTCTCAAAGCAGGATTGCTTTCCCAAACCTGAACACAAATTGAGAATGGTCAATCTAGCTTTGAGAACTACAAATTGTTATCCATTCCACCGAGAGAAAGTGTCGAGTTTCACTGAGAAGCAAAAACTCGGACAAGCTTTCACTAAATAGATAGATAAATAAAACAAATGTTGAGACTAAAATTCAAATGTAAAAAGAGCCTATCAAATCGGTGATATAAAAGAAAGCCACCAACTACAGCTATGACTATCCACATCCAAAATATTGGCAAACCCTACAGCAAGCCAATTTACTTTCGTCTAAGATCCACCCAATTCACTCCTCACTAACTACTGGTTGCCTGAGAAGATTCTACACCATCAACCAATCGATTGATGAGTTCTTTTATAAAAAGGTTGTTAGATCATGAAATTCTTAATTGTTAGTAAAAGTTGTGCTTCATATCCTTAACCCTTACCTCTGGTAAATAAATCTTCCAGTAAGTAACTTATATCACAGATTTCATGCTTTAACATAGAAACTAAAAACAGTGTTCTATCAACAACACCTAGTTTCACATAACTATGAACTAATCAGCCTGCATCCACACAAATGTAAATTAACGTAGAAAATTGCACTTAAAAAACCTGCAGATAGAAGATGTCGTCCATGACTTTTGCAGCCTTAATTATCAAACTCAAAGCCTCCTTGTCTGCATCTGACAGGTCTGTCAACTTCAACAACAAAATAAAGAAAATGAAATGGTGTAAATTTGACATGTTTCAATATTAATCACGAAGGACCAGAGCCCAATATAGGAGCAATGATAGCTTACAGAACCCCACATACACAAATGTAAACTTATAGGTCCTGCCTTAGAAAAATGCAACATATAAAGTCTTTAACATTGATGCTTCTTGCTTGATGAAGCTTATCAATGATCATGGAACAGCGCATAATCCTCATAAAATATTCATATAAATAGATCACAACCAATTTGTTTTTGCAAATGAAACAGATAGTTGATCCATTGTTAGTCGACATTTAGCAGTTTGACAATCCCGGGGCTTATTTAGAGCAGGGGACCTGAGCATCAACATACTACTCTATCAATCAAACATGATACTGTATCAAGTTGTATTTGTTCACCCATGGAAGAATTTAACAACTTTACAAAGCCAATAACAAAGTTAAATGTTGAAGTAAAACATAAGCATTAGCATACAGAATCCTAACATGTAGAAGAATGAAAAGTCAAGAGATGTACAAACCATATCCAAGATGATATTAATACCTCATCATTGAGAGAAACAGGAGCATAGCGCTGCAGTTGCTTTTGCAGAGTTACATTTTGTGCTTTACTATCTTGGTTGTACCTTTAGCATATGCCAACAATGCATACGATTCAATAATATGAAGACTACAGTTTGAACAGATCAACTAATTCACCCATGATTGTTTCAAGGATCAAGATTAAGAGCATAGATGATTGTCTTTAATAAGGAAGTTCAGGGGGTAAAAAATTCTTGGCGATCTCTATAAAAAAAAGAAAAAAGAGATTCAACACGTCGAGAGGATTTCGTTATAATCAACTTCAGACATATCCATGTAAACGGTATCACACTTCTCAATTACGAAGATACCAATAAATAGCCCAATACTTCCCATGCCAAATATTATATATTTACATACCTTTGCCTAATTATTTGGAAGAGTTGATCGTATGGCCCATTTACATCATACGGAACATAATCGGGGTCTTCTTTAGCTAGCAAACTTCTGTACTCCTCGTAGGACATATATTTAACAGCAGATACTTCTGATTCCTATGAGAAGAAAAGCCATACAGTAGAGAAGCATTTATAAGAAATTTTATTAAGTGGCAAGGAAGGCCCTCAGGGTGTCCAGATTAGTTTTATTGGCAATGACTATAAAGCTGTCTGTAATTGACCTGATATATCTTATCTATGGCACACACACAAAAGAATGTAGTGGAGTTCAAACATCACACATGATATTGGAAGATGCTCTAAGCAGATATAGAACGGAAGGAAATATGACAGAAAGAAGGAACAGGCTGAAATAGGCAAAGAAAGGTTTTTATCAAATCCTTGTTCCCTTGATCAGAAAGGAAACATAGGAAAGTAACGTACAATAAAACATTTTATTCTGATTATTCCAACCACGACAAACCAGCAGATGGCATTAAAAAATTTGTCCAAAGAAAATGAGTATCTGATTAAGAAAAGCATGGCAGCATCCTCACCTGAAGAGTAAAGGCCTCCAAAGGAATCGGATCTATAGTTGTCACAAGGTATACATCGTTAAATTCATTATTGATGAATGTCCCATCATTTATCACACTGCATTAAAATGTAGCATCATGGTGGTCAATCGAAATTCTAAGATAGATCAAACTAAATGCAATTGATTAAAAACCCTTTAAAGAAAGATTTGAAGTAAACAAGGATTCCACTACAAACCACTCTTGAAGGAAGACAAACATCAACTCAAATGCATCTCTAGGAAGGCTGATTCCTAGCTCCTCCTGAAGCTCCCGCCTGCACGCAAACAAACGTAAGAGTGTCATCAAACAAAAAAATGGACAAAGGAGCTAACTGTAAAAGCAGAGGCAAAGTGTATCCCTGAGAAGAAGAAAAAAAAGCATTCACAACAAAAGATGACAGTTGAGATGAACCATGCTGTAGTACATGATTTGCCTGGCTTAACATAACAACCCCATAAACAAAATAAAGGGTTTTCCCCTGGGAATGCCAGGGGAACCACATTAACCAAGATTATCCTAGGGAGAAGAATTCAAACTCACCTTGCTGACACAAGCGAGGAATCACCAGCAGAAATATGTCCAGCACTGGATATGTCCCACTGCCCAGGCCATGAATCCTTACAGTCAGCACGCTTCTGGAGAAGCAGTTGCTGGGTACTCTCAGCAAAAATCCAAACGTGAACAGCCCTGTGATAATCTCCGTCGCGATGGACTGCTCCCCTGCAGTACAGTTCCCCCCCCCAAGAATGAAAATTACATGAGTTCCAAGCCAAGAACGGCGCATTGTCTCATTAACTTCATAGAGGTCAAAAGGAAGATTTCATCCTCCTGAAGAGCAGCAGGATAGTACATGAATACAAAAACTCCAGAGGAAGAAATCTCGGGGAATTTATATGATCGTCAAACGAGCTTAATTGGCAATTGAAATTGACGCGAAAAGAGAAGAGGAGGAAGGGGGAGAAAGGAACGTGCCTGGGCTTGGAGACGCCTGTTTTCTCTCCGGTTTTAGTCAGAACGTCGAGGTGTTCTTCCACAACCACCGCTGAAGCATCCGCCATTGCTTCCGTTCTCTAACTCGACTGCTGCAGTTTCTTCTGTAAGAGACGTGAGAATCTGTGGGAATTGACAAGTTGCGTAGAGCAAAGCAATTGTAGGCGACGACCACTTTCTTAATTTATCACCAATCCTTCCTTCTCACCAAGGTTCGAACACAGAACCATAAGGTTGACAAATTGAGGTTTCCACTTGAATAAGATAGACCCAATCAGGTGAAAAATATACCTAACAATACCACCCAACTTACTGAATTGTTGTACGTATGCCACTTATTAACTAAAAAATTATGCGTGGAATACGGGTTAATTGCATGGTTGGTCACTATAATTATAAAAACGTTCAAGTTTGATCACTCGAAATATTTAAATTTATTGGTGGTACTTCAGTTTACTGAAACAGTTCAAATTTGGTTACTCTCCGTCCAACTCCGTTAATTTTGTCTGATGTGGCAGTCAACTTTTAAAGTTGACCGATTACTGAGTGATATGGCACTTAAAATTAATAAATAAAATATAATTTAATTTTTAATAATTTCCTACTCATTTTCATAATAAAATAAAATAAATATAACAAAAATATAAATGAAATTCAATCCTTCCTTCCCGGAGAAATACTTTCGGAACGCCGCCGCCCCTCCCGGAACCACCATCCCCCGACGATGCTCAATCAAACAATCTCTCTGCCGCCTTCACGCAAGTCGTCTTCGTCCTCACCACAATCCAGCAGTTGCTATTCATCTCAGCTTTACCAAAAACTCAATCGTTTCGCTAGAAGGAGATCGCTCGGCGAGGTCAAGTATCCCGTCATCGAACCACAAACTCCCAGCCAAATCCCGAGTCAACAAATAGCACAAGCAAGCAATCGGGATTTTGTTTGTTCTAGGTCAGGCGGAATTGAACGGGAATGAGAGCAAGCAACGACCCTAATCAAGACGGCGGCTCTGATGAGCAACAGAAGCGATCTGAGATCGACACCTAGGAAGCGATGACTTCTTTTATATGATGGGCGAAATGAAAAACGTGAAAGATTATGAAAATGAAGAAGGAAGCCATTATTAAGAAAGAACTCCAACACTTGGCTCTGTTGTTCCGTCGTGCCTTCCGGGCTCTGCTGTTCCATCGTGCCTTCCGGGCTTCAATAGCAGGCAGCGACGACCCGCCGGCCGCCGTGGGCGCAGGCACGGGCGGGCTTTTCGGCGACTTCGAGCAATTTGTAGAAGTTCGCGTAGCTGAGATCGGGATCCTCCCGGTGGCTTTTGGTGATGTATTCCCGGTGGCTTTTGGTGGGGATTAGAGAAATTTGATTTTCATTTTCTATTTTTTAAATGTGCAGTGAAGTGGAAAATTTAAATTATTAAAATTTAATTTTTATTATTTTTTAATTACCACGTCAGACATTTAACAGTCAATTTTGAGAGTTGACCGCCACGTAAGCAAAAGTTAACGGAGTTGGACGGAGAGTGACCAAACGTGAACGGTTTCAGTAAACTAAAGTACCACCAATAGATTTAAATATTTCGAGTGACCAAACTTGAACGTTTTTTGTAATCTCAGTGACTAACCATACAATTAACCCGTGGAATACTCTACCTATGTCGATTTTGGGTATTTCTTTTATGTACACTTCTCTAGTCTAGTGGCAAGAAAAAAAACATTGTTCTATATATAACCATGGCATTTCACTAGAATGACAATAACTCATCTAAAATAAGATACACCCAATCATGTGATCCCGATCATTAGGCAATGCTCTCACATAGTCACATGATGTTGCACCATCAATTGCTCCATCCGTTTTTACTAAATCGAGTTTTTCATATTCGAGTTTGGCTTGGAATCAAATTGAAATAATCTACATCGAATTTCACTTGACTTGAATAAAAAAAATTTAGTTCAAGTTCCACTCGATAGATGCTCAATAACAAAACTTATCAAGATAAACACAAGCTCAACTCGATATGAGCTAGACTTGAACTTTCTTTATTACCTCATTTTTTTTATTTGTTTGAAGTTTTTTGTACTAGAATAAAAGTCTTGTTCGTCGAGATTTGAATACATTATCATTTGGGGTATGCTTATGATGACATGCCGTTTCAATTTTGTGAGGTTCCCGAATACACTAATGTGGGAACCTTGATGACTTATCACGGTGGACCTTTAAAATGTAGAGGTCGACCGTTTGTAGTTTAAGTTGTCATTGTTGGTCGACCACAATAAAACATCGGTCGCCCTTTCCATTGGCGTCAGAAGCAAAATGGTCGACCGTAAATGTATATAGGTCAACCACTTGATGACGGTCATTAACAAAATGGTCGACCATTTACAAAAAGAGGTCGACCAGATAGAAGAGAAGTGTTGTATACATTTATCCATCATCATTTGACGTATAATGAAGATCAAGTGTTGGTTTCGCGGTCGACCTAATCTGGTACGAGGTCGACCGAATACAAGAAAATCAACATATGTCTTTCGTCTTTTTTGCTTATGTATGTCGATGTGGGTGGTTCTTTTACTCGTACTAATTACGTTTAAACCAACAGAATCAGTCATAAATAATGATAACAATGACTCATAACTTCCACGTGGTCGACCTCTTGAATCACATACAATAGCAACTGCAAAGGATCTTCACAAAAGCTCTAACCGTAAAAAAACCTAATTCAGAGTTTCGGTGGCAGTGAAGGTGACATATATTCGTATATATAGATATTTAGGATGAGAATGGGTCGAATTAAGTGGTAGATAAGTTAGGGTTACCTTTCTGGTGTTGGAATCCTTATCCAATACGGATACGGTGTGCACGCGATCGAACCTCAGTTAATCAAAATGGTTGGCCTATGAGGTATTTGGGTCGACCTTTCATTTTGTTTGTTTCCCAAAGAGGTCGACCATTTGCTATAAAAGGTCAACCGCATCGTTGAACCTCACAAAACTGAAACGACATATTACGTCGATCTCATCCTATATAAGGTCGACCTAAAAGTGCATATTAGGTCGACCTAATGCTCTATAAGATCGACCTAAAAGTGCAAATTAGGTCAGCCTAATCTTATATGAGGTCGACCTAAAAGTGCAAGTTACGATGACATGCAACAAAGTCCTATCATTTGACCAAACTATTGTATTCCAATAACTCGAATTAAACTATTGTATTCCAATAACTCGAATTATATAATTAGAAGATTAATTATAAATCTTATTGACATATCTTGCCTACGACCGACTTCACTTGGAAATGGGCTTCACTTGTAAATTTTTGGCATTTTTATCAACTTACATCACAAAATTCCATCATTTCCAAAAGGACATGCTTTCCTAAAAATCCAAGACATAATAGCCAAAAATTCCAAATTAACATAGATTAACGATCTCCTAATGAAGGGCAAGTTTCTCTCTTAAGAGGATGAGATGGAAAGATTGATCACCATCTCCATTTGAAGATTCTATTTACGAAACCAATAACCAACAACCAAAACATCACCGATCTGCTAATCTTGAAGGGAGAGCATTGCTCCAGTAGCTAGCTACAGCTACTTCTAGTGACTAGTGAGATGGAGATGACTTATGATCTGCAGCCTCCCATTTGTTAATCCTCGTCTTCTCAATCTCTTCCATGATCCTTTGCATTCCTTTGTTCAGATGCTTAGTGGGCAGAGATTCGGGTTTGGGTTCAACAGAATTGCAATCTGCAGCAACTTCTTCCTTCTTCTCTTCCTTTCCACCATCATCGTCATCAACTCTTCCCTCCAGAATTCTCTTGATTTGTTCCTTGAAGAACTGCTCTTGGAAATCCATCTGATCAATTCACATTACAGGGTTCAATACCATATTTTAGCCCCCCAAATCATTTCAAAAGATCAGATCTTTTTTTCTTACCGCTTCCTTGCTCTCTTGATGCTGCAATTGGATTTTTTCCCTTAGCACTCTGGTTTCCTCCTTTGCCATCCTCAGCTTCTCTTTCAGTTCCACTTCATAGACAGACGGTGAACTGACACGTGGCGGCGGCGGCGGGCGATTGGCGGGGAAATGTCTGCGATTGCTGCTGGCGCCAGATTGATGATCCTTATTATAATTACGATTAGCCACCAGTTTCTTCTTGTTGGGCTTCTTCGTCTTTCCCTTCTTCTCGTAGTACCCGTTGTTGACCCGCTCCCCGCCGGCGTTGACATTTATGCAGTCAAAGCAAACGCAGCTGCAGCCGCCATTCTCGTCGTAGACGTTCCTCACCACCTGATGGTCTTCCTTCCTCTCCCTGCAAATCTCGCAGAAAGACAGGGACGATTCCCCTGCCTCCCGCTTAACTCCCGCCTGGAAATCGGGATATGGGCCCGACGGGATCTGATTTTCTGCCGGCGGCGCAGTTGGTGAAGACGGCGCCGTTTCCGTTTCGTCGGCGGCGGCGGCGAGGGAAGAGTCAGAGCTGCTTGTGATTAGCGACGCCCGGAGAGCTTCCTGGAACTGGAGCTCCTGAGCCAGCTCTGCATCAAGGGCCTCCAAAAGAAGCTGTTCCTCTTCTTCTTCGTCGAAGAACGCCGAGAAGCCGCAGTCGGCGGCGGGTTCGTGGGGTTTGTGGTGGTCGAGGATGACGACCATCGCTGTTTCGACGGCCATGGGTTGGGGATCGGGGTGATCGAGATGGAGAGATAGTGTGAGGATTTTACCCTAAGGGGAGAATGGAGCTGGAGCTGCAATTTGGCGGGGGCAGCGACCGTCGCTCCCCGCCAATTTAAGGGGGAGGAATCAACTTGGCGTCGAAGTAGTTGGGGGAATATATTATTTGATTTGATTAACTGCTTATCCATGGCTGCTTTGGGAGTGTGCTGGACAGTGTGGGAGTACTGTCGGTCGACTGTTCTTGTGTCCTTTTCCATAGGGTGATATCGGGTTAGTAGCTGTTAAACTAATTGGAAGTTGGAACTATTGGCTAGTGGACTAGTCCAATCAGACTAGTTACATGATTTCAAGTTAAACCGTAATCAGTCATTGAGTCCATCGCTTAACGTCTAATCAAATTAATCTAATTGTTATTAACAATTGTAATTGATTTAGTAATTCTACTGGCCCTTGCAAACGGGTGCAGATTTTAAAAAGGCCAAATTCACTTGTATAGTCAAAACTTTGACGTTTATGACAAATATAGTCACGTTTGGAGAAATACTAGAAATAGTCAGAATTTTGAAAGTTCGATGACAAATATAGCCATTTCCGTTACATAGTTTGACGGCGTCAATAACACCGTTAGTCAAATTAACCAAACGCTTACCTGGCTGCCAACTCACTGGACACATCATTGACAACTTAACAATACTTGCCATGTCATTTTTAATTTAAAAATAAATAAAAATGACAAATTTTTTTCCATCCTCTCTCCTCTCCCACCACTCGCCGTCGAAGAACTCTTTCCTCTCCCTCTCCTTCCACCACCGACCCCAACCCCAAACTCATATCCTCTCCTCCCACTCCGACAGCGTTCCAGATCCAACCCACCACCGACCCCGCCGACATCGCTGCGACAACATACTAACCCTACGATCTCCCTCTGGCTCATAGCATCCGACGAAAATCTCTGTCTCTGTTTTGTTCTCACCAGAGACAGAGAAGGCGAACTCGACGCTGGTGGCGAGCAGCACTCCGACGCAAAAAAACAATCCCATGCCGCAACTCCTCCCGTCGTCATCTCCGTGCAAAAACCCAGCGGAAAGAAAAGCAAGAATCCAACACCCGCTATCCAAAAGCAGGGATTTCCCCCTAACCCTATCGTTCTCGAACCCATAATCGATTGTTCAAAAACCCAGAATCGATTTCCCCCTAACCCTATCGTTCAAACCCAGAATCGATTGTTCTCTTCTAGCTCAAATCGGCGGTTCTGGAGGGAGAGATCGCGCGACGGAAGATGACAGTCAGATCCATCCCTTCTTCTTCTTCTTCTTCTTCTTCTTCTCCCTCGAAGATGCAGATGAAGACAGATTGACGGGGCCCGAGACAACGACGAGCGATGCCCGAGATAGATTGACGGGGCGGATCGATGGTGGCCGGTAGTGGGAGACGATGGCGAGCAGCGTAACAGGGGAAGATCGATTCGGGGAAGTTAACTGGTTGGAGAAGATGATGCGAATGTGAAGGTGGTCTGACGGGTTTTGATTTAAAGGGGAAGGAAGAGGATGATGATTTGGGGGATGTGGGGTTGAAAAAGAGACGAAGTTGGGTTTAGGGGGATGTGGGGTTTGGAAAATTTTTCTTTTTATTTTTTTATTAAGTTTTTCATTAATCTATGTGGCAATGTTGTTTAAAAATGTCACCACCATCTCAGCAATGCCGTTAGTCCAGTCAGCTATTTGGTTAACACCGTCAAAGAATCGGACGAAAGTGGCTATTATTGGTATTTCCCCAAAAGTGGCTATATTTGGCAAAACCGTCAAAGTTTTGGCTATACAAGTTCGACAAACACAAAATCATCAGAATGAGTGATGTTTGAATTAGAGAAACCCTAAACATTGAAAACCTGATTTCGACAGAAGCCGGGTCAGAGCCACCTTACCTTGGTCAAGTTCGAATCGTCACTTGCGACTTCGCTTATATGCCCAAAGTCGTCGCCGCTTCGACAAAACCCAGGTGAGAGCTGCGCTCTTGCCCGAGTCAGATAGAGTTCCAGTGGCGCTTCGAGTTCGTGAAATAGGGAGTGTACGGTGGGACTTTCACAGACGATGGCAGTCTCGCCGCCTCGCCTGCAAGACTTGGAGAGAATCCTCGCCGGCGACAGTCTTCGATGGTTTTCGAAGAGAAAGGGGGAGGGAGATAGACAAGATGAGGGGTTGAGGATAAAGTTGGTGAGTGAGTGAGTGGAGAGGGTAAATAGTTATTTTTGTTACTTCAATATTTTTAGTTTTTTTACCAAATTAGTCCAGACCACATAGGCGGCCACGTGTTTTGTCCACCTCATCGCTTTGACGCCAGGTCAGCATTGCAAACACAAATAATGGCTCATTAACGGAGAACTAACAGATAGCTAATAATTTGTATATTGATAGTTGTGACTATAATTTCCCAGAACTTAATAATTGTGCCTAATATATTGTTTGAACCCTAGCTTTTATATAACAAAATAATAATAGGTGGTTTTCTAGAAATATTTACACCATATTCCGTTACACCATATATTAGGTGGCTAATATATTGTTGCAACACTTTTTAGAACTCTCCATTATCAAATATTTTGCAGTTTATTATTTTTAAACCTCTCCAAAATACATGCGGTTTTAAAATCTAATAACCGAAACCCATCAATTCCAAAACTAGCACAAATTAACGATCTCCTAAGGAAGCGATTAGAACATCCCAATATCCTCATTCAAGTTCAAGTTCATGGCTACCACGGGTCTCGTAGGGACTAAACAACAGTGCCTTCTTCAAACGACTCCTCCCTTTTGTTATTCCTCATCTTCTCAATCTCTCCCATAATCCTCTGCACTCCTTCGTTCAGATGCTTGGTGGGCCGAGGTTCGGGGTCAAGTACTGAATTTGTACCAAAATTGCAATCTGCGGCATCTTCTTCCTTCTTCTCTTCCTTTCCACCACCATAATTATCAACTCTGCCCTCCAGAATGCTCTTGATTTGTTCCTTGAAGAACAGCTCTTGAAAATCCATCTGACCAAATCACATTACAGAGTCGGATTAAATTGCAATCACTTAATTTCTTTACTTCCACATCTTAATGATCCCACTAAATGATTTTTGTTAAAAAGACCAGATCTTTGCTTACCGCTTCCATACTCTCCAGATGCTGCAACTGGATTTTAACCCTGAGCACTCTGACTTCCTCCTTGGCCATCCTCAGCTTCTCCTCCAGTTCCACGTCACAGTCAGACCGGGAACCGCCACGTTGCGGCGGGGAGCGATTGGCCTGGAAATGTCTGCGATTGGTGCTGGCGCCGGAGTGATGATCCTTAGGAGCCCACATTTCCTTGTACAGCTTCTTGTTTGTCTTTCCCTTCTTCTCGTACCAGTTGTTGACCCGCTTCCCGCCACCAGAATTGACGTTTATGTGGTGGTCGAGGATGGCCAACGTCGCTGCTTCCATGGCCATTGTGCTTTTGTTATATTGGTGATCGAGACGGCTTTCGATGGATGTTTTAAGAGATTAAGCTGCCCCGCAATTGCCATTTGCCGTCGCCCCTCCCCAATTTAAGGGAGTGTATGATCGAGTGAACTTGGCACTGAAGTAGTTTGGGGAAAAGTAATTGTTTACTGACTCATTACTTAGCCAGAAACAGTGTCCATGGCTGCTTCGAATTCTGTTTACTTATTCTTCTCCCCTGTTCTATTACATTTATTTATGATTTATCTTTTTGCCAGCGAGTGAGACTGTGGGGGATTATCGGTCGACTGTTCTGTGTCTGTCTGTCTTTCTGGTTTCCTTTTAGTTTTTCCCCTTCTTGCAGAAGCAGTCAAGCATACGTACAAAATGCACAATTAAAAAGAAAAGGTGTTTTTTTTTTTTGCTGATTGGATATTATTAAATTATTTTGGTCTAATTTTATCAAATCACTCCCTAAACGAAGTGAAGTAGGAAATTGGTTGTCGAGAAACAACGAGCAAGTCAAGTCAAGAAAAGTGGAAAAGGGGCTAACAAAGGAAAGATTCACCAAGAAGCAGTTCAAATGAGGCCGAAACGACTTCCCTTGTAAGTTGCTTCGTTTAGGGCAAATATGATTTATGATCCCCGCTCTCCCTCCTCCTTCTTCCAAAGCCGCGTGATTTATCCTTAGAATTCCATTGGCTCTTCTCAATCCGATTATCTTTTTTCCCGTTAATCAAAGTCGCCATTTCATATGCTAATCCCACCTTAAAAGCCAGTAGTTAATTTCCCGTCGGACTCACAGTCTAGTGTAAGCTAGCGTGGCGTTAAGGGTTTCCCCCCCTCACTCTTCCTCCGCCACTCCCTCTCTCAAACTCGATGTCAACCTCCGCCCAAATCCTCCAATCAGCAGCGGAACCAAGGCAGTCCACGGATCAGACGGCGGAGGTCAAGCCAGTATCCGATCTCAATTTCGTGGACGATTCCTACTTCGATTCTCTCTTCGCCGAAGACGACGAAGAAAACGACGCCGTCTTGCAAACTCTGCCGCCGCCGCGAGCGGGGGAATCTTCTGACGACGAAGACAAGGGAGAAGTCCTCAAACTCATCTTCCCGGTCTCGGACGCCAAGTACGCCCACGGATTGCAAGTCCAAGAGGCCCTAATCGGCTCAATCTCGCTCTACCGCGGCGAAACCCTCGGCGCGGCTGGCACGGGAGACGAGGAGGTCGAGAGCCCCGGGAAGCGGATGAAGGTGGACGAAGGCGAATCGTCGCTGAGATTCTGCGAGATTTGCGCGGAGAGGAAGGAGCCGGACCAGATTCTCGCCGTCGCAGCCTGCACCCATGCGTCCTACTGCTCCGACTGCATCTCCCGCCACGTGGAGACCAAAATCGGGCAGAGCGTGGTGACCGTCACCTGCCCCGCGTCGGGATGCGGGACCGTGATCGAGCTCGAGTCGTGCCGCGATGCTCTCCCCAAGGGAGTGATCGAGCAGTGGGAGGAGGCTCTGTGCCGGAACCTGATCGGGGAGTCGGAGAGGTACTACTGCCCGTTCAAGGACTGCTCGGCGATGCTTCTGGTGGAGGAGGCAGGAGCGGAATTGATCAGGGAATCCGAGTGCCCGTACTGCCACAGGCTGTTCTGCGCGCAGTGCGGCGTGCCGTGGCACTCTGGGGTGGACTGCGAAGGGTTCCAGCGGCTGGGGCAGGACGAGCGTGGCAGGGAAGATATCATGGTGATGGAGATGGCCAAGAGCAACAAGTGGGGAAGATGCCCGCGGTGCAAATTCTACGTTGAGAGGACCGAAGGCTGCCCTCACATCATTTGCAGGTCAGAATTTGTTTCCCCCATTTCCTAGCGATTGTGACTAATCAGTGGTTTTGCTGTAATGGGGGACATGGGTTGTTGTTGGTGGACTTCAATTGTTGCAGGTGCAAACATGAGTTTTGCTATGGGTGTGGAGAGCAATGGAGCTCGAATCATGGCGGGTGTACCAGAGATTGATCGGGGTCGAGCTAATGGACTGGAGGTAGAGGGTCATGTTTGTTGGTTAGATTTTGGCTTTTGCTGTCTTTGGTTCATTTTTCCTTTGTAAATGGTTGTCGCTACCAATTGGAAAACGGGAGTGCCGTATGTTCCAAAGCATTTGGGTACATGATGTTTACTTGCAAAAGTTGATTAAGAGAGGCTGTTTTGGCTTTTAGTTTTTCGTTGATTATCATTGTGTCTTCCATTGTCATTAGGCATTTTGGTGATAATGACGAAACTCTTGAAAAGGAAGCTTGGATGGGAATATGAACATTGGTAATGAGTACTCGGTAGGTATTTCTGCACTAGGGGAATAGCCTTCCATTTTCTGCTTCGTAAAACGGCGTCGTACAACTTCAGAAAAAAAAAAAAAACCTTTCACATATCACAAATTGTTATGAATAATTATCCCAATGATGGGACTAAGCAACACGATTAACACGAAATAGAGGGGAAGGAGTAACACCGCTTTTATTCCATAGTCTCATAGATTGATTACATGGAACCAATATGGAATACATAGAGAAGTGAGGGAGAAGAGGAATGAATTGGTGTGTATTCTTCTTCTGTAGGAATGCCTTTTATAAGCAAGAGAGTATTGAGATCCAATATCATAATGATGAGGAGGAGATGGCAGTTGGGAAGTGGAGTCAATTGACATCCATATATATATTTTCATGATACTCCCCCTTGGATGTCTATTGATAAAGGACATGCCTCGTTAAAACCTTACTAGGAAAAACCCAATGGGATAAAAACCTAGCGAAGGAAAAAGAGTGCATGATTATTTTTGTTACGCCTTTGTATACTGCCTCATTAAAAACCTTACTAGGAAAACCCAGTGGGAAAAACCTTGGTTAAGGGAAAAAGAGTGCAGTGCGTAAAGTCTCCCCCCTTATAAAGAGATCTATCAACATCTCCCCCTCATGGAGAGATCTATCAATAGTTTGAAGCCTTCGAGCTCCAATATATATTTCACATGACATTTGTGGAATGTAGTATTGTTATAGACAAATCTGCTGGATAGTCATTTCACAAACTTTGCTGGTTCCACAATTTTTCATGAAGTTCGTTATTGAAAAACAAACTTTGTTAAAAATATCCTCATATGTATCTTTTCAGAAGATACATGTAATATCACTTTCATATATGATTGTCTAGATCAATCTTTGATAAAAATGTCAAATAATGGATAACTTTATCAAATAGATCATTATTCTCATAGTGATCTTAATCATCAATATATCTTACTCATTCTTATCATTTGTGCACCATGTATATATATATTTCTTGATGCACATGACTTTCCCTTGCAAATATTTGTTTTGCAATCCAGGGGATAGTCTAGTTCTTTCAAGTTATTGATTCAATTACTTTTGAATACTCTTCTAGAGTTTCAAGTCAATCAATAACTTCGTATCTTTGAATACTCTTCTAGAGTTTCAAACATATTTATACCTTTAATCTCAACTTGAAATCATTGTTTACAAATGTGTCGACACCCTAAAGGTGGCAAAGAATTTGTCAACACATTGTCATGAGAAGTTTGGATCTTTCAACCAATGATTTGTTAGAACACATGAATCTATCATTGGAAGATATTCTAGGTAATTCATCTGTCTTCCTAAAAATATAATATGAATATGGAATTTGAGATCATTTGTATTTCTCCTATCTCGTAGAAACTTCATTGAGATAGTTATTCCATATATATCGATGCTCATTCAATTTGTTTGAGGTGAGGATTCAATATACTTGAATAATGTTCTCCACAATCTCAACATGTTTGCTTCAAGCAAACTAACTCCTTCAGAGAGTTCCATATGAATTTCATCATTAAGCATGCTTTAGTATCAACCTTCATTAGACGCATATATAACTTTTATATACTGCCAAAAGACATATCCACCATATGCAAGTTTTCTTAAGTCAATGCCAATTATTTTGCGAAGACCTTTATGACAAGTCGAGCATGATATCTCTTAATTTCTTCCCCTTTGTCATGTCTTCGTAAAACATCATCTGAGTTTGACTTGCATTGCTTCTCTATAGCTCTTATGACCTTTTACTGTTTAGGCTAGTTCATAACTGCCTTAAATGCGTCGTTACAACTTGGTCTATAACCTTTTTAAAGTGACCAATGGATCTAACTTTACGATCCTCTTTCATATCATATTGCGCGCTACAATATATGAAAACTCTATCATCAACGTTGACTTCCTTTCGATTCCATTGAATCTCATCCAAGATATGATTTATTGGGATTTCTTTCATAATCCCGAAATAGGTACCGTTGGTTCTTCCAGACCAATGTTATAATACTTGGAGATTCAAATAAGTTTGCAATATCCTCACATAAAGACCATCTTTATTTTGAGCTCCTTTTATTTTTTCGAGGACTTGTATTTCTTTGGAATCGATAGTTCAACACATTACATTTGTGTGTGCAACATATCCTTCAGGGATATAGTTCTTAGGAGCATTAGCAGCTTTTGTGACTTAGTCACTCCTTTGTGATCATTAATTACGCCTGGCGGTAGGCTTACTAAACTTGGCTAATGAATTATCATTGAACTTCAAGTTCACATTACAAATGTGAGGATCATAATTCATTTCGACCAATTTTAGAATCAGCTGCTTATTTTTCTCCCCCTGATATTGGAAAGATCGAAATAACGATTGCAAAATAATGGAGACTGCTTGCTCAACATTAGTTTCCAATATCCTTTGAAGAACCCATCTTTGTAAATTGTGGTGGAACAATTTACAACATATAATTCATCATAAAGTCTTTGATGAGAATTTTAAGGTTCCTGACCAAAACCAATTTGTAGAGGGGTTTAGTAGTGACAACTTCTTGGCATGATGCAAAATCGATACTACTACATGCAACTGCCATGTCTTCAATAAGTTGTTTCACATGTTTATGCACAAGCATGTGCTACATGACATTTGATATTGAAACCAATAATATGAGATTTAAATCCATCAATAATCATCGAGAAGTAGTCTCTTCATATTTGAATATTTGTTTATATATGCCCGTAAGTGAATCAATTGTGCAACCAATCTTGCAAACTTTAGGTTGCAAGTGGAGTGATCATTTAGACGATGCATCGATTAAAACCATAAAATAACTAAATGATCCATATGGTGCATTGATCCAATAATTCATAGTGTATATACTAATTACTTCTCACTTTCATAGGTGATCTCATAATCAACTTTTCTTGAGAATATACAGCACAAGAAGAATCCTTCATTGTGGAATTTTCGATAATATTCTCAACAACGATTTACATGAATTCTCGATAATACTTTGCATCATAATTGATCCAGGATGGTCCAACCGGTCATGCCAAGCAATCAATTTACAACAAACATAAACTTCAGGTTTATGGTTTGTGTTGTTACCTTTTGCTTCAGGAAGAAGGATTAATTGCGAGTAGTAATTCAACATAATAACATCTATTATGCAATACTTTAAGAATAAGGATACCAAAAGGGGACGCGGTCGAAGTGGTACGGCTCTTTGACCTCAACTGGAACGTTGTAGGTTCAAGCCCCATTGACGCCAGATTTAGAACCCTAAAGATTCTTTTAATAAACCATATCACTATATGTGGTAGATATGGTTCTGCCATTTAATGTGGGTTATGCTTACGTCATATTACCCTAGCAATGGGAAACTGTTGGATACAACATATAACACAGTATCTCAGTATTGTCCCTGATAATTTCGATATGCTTCTGACATTTTGTGGGTAATGTCGACCGACATATTACCCTACCTCTTTTGTTTCTTTCCAAAATTTCAAAACGAAATCTTCTCAATATTCCAAAATCTACCACATCAACATCCTTATCTTATCCAAATTTCGGCTATAAAACAACAATTTTACTCCTCTTCATTTCATTCTATCATACATCATCTCTCAATTCCATCATTCTTCTTCCCTTCTTGGGAACTCTTCTCGTTATAAGTTGCTTCAGGGATCTTATCGAGTTCGGGTGAAGCAATGGCTGAAGAAATCTCTTCCTTTCTAATATTGCTTTGGGTGTCATGGATCTTTATGATTTTGTTTCTCATTGCAATACTTATCTTGCTAGAGATACACTATCGCAATCATGAACGCTACGTTTTGATACACAAACGCGAGGATCATAAGCATGATTAGATATTCTCTAGTCTTTGATCCGTGTATGGTAGTATGAAAAATGAGACTTAGATCTCAAATCATGTATGATGTATGAATGCTATGAATAAAGTGAAGTTTAAGTACTTCATTGTATCAATAAATCCAAACTTTACTTCCGGAAAGTTTGTGGTACATACTATATTCATCATCATTTTTGGAGTCAAGTCATAAACTGATCATTAACTTCATTGGATCATCTTATGAGTAATACCCCATGAATCATTATATCAAATGGGCGTATAATCAAATCCGGTGTGTCCCACCTTGGATAAGCCCTTAAATGCTTTACCATAAAATATTCAGGATATGATCATTTTATTCAAATGATTCTTGATTAAATCCATGAAACGATTCAACGTACAACAGGTACGTTATATGGCCAATATCTTTGTCCCTTTTAATAAATCATTGATTCAACTGATGAATCTATTTGACGTACAACTGGTACGATAACATTCTTGAATTTTCAATCACTGATCATATAAACATTTCACTTCTGGTGAATGTTATTATGGTTGGTATTATAGAACTATTTATCAATCGATATTTTGACATCGTCGTTTTTCACATTCACTTTTGGGAATGGAATTATATTTACAGAGATTTTTCATATCCCACATATATGGTTTATCCACTGATCTTTTGATCTTAACCCTTTTCACTATTTATTCGTATAACTTTCAATAGTTATGAATTCCTTTTACTTGCTACCTCTGGAGCATAGTAAACAATTGTAGCAATAATGTCAATATGCTACTACAGGAGCATAATAAATAATATTTACTATAATAATAATAACAATAATATAGGTGTTACCATTCAATTTCAATAATACATAGTCATAATTGACAACATAAACAATGCATATATATATATGCATTTCTCATCATACCATGCGTTTATTATAAACACTAAATAATAATAATAATAATAATAATAATAATAATAATAATAATAATAATAATGCATGTATCTATCATAAACAAATAGTTGTGGCCTTGTCTGCCATTTTCATTTAATAACCAAGTCTCATCCAAGTTGAATCTCTTTAAGCTGTCGGTTATTATTTAAATTATTTAAAGCTTAATGTAATGATAATAATAAATGCCATGTGATATTAAACTTCTTGCGTATACTAAGCATTCATTCATGCACAACTCTATCTATAATAATATGGTGATTAGATTTTCATATTTATGGCAAGGTAGTAAACAGATTGAAAACCAGTATATTAAATAAAATAGGCGTAGGGAAATTACCTGACAGCTGATGAGTAATAACTTAGAAACTTGTCAAACAGCTATTGAAAAATTTGGCTTTTGAATTTGCTTATGATCAAGAGGATGTTACGTAGACAGAGCAATCACTTTGAATAAGTGCAAGATGGACAGGATCTCTGATCGACAGGATCTAGAATAGTTTGTGCAAGATCGATAAGATACACTGATCTACAATACGTTACAACCTTTCGTTTCCGGAGTTATCTCAGATCTTCAGGATCTTGAGTACATAGAATAGAATGTAAACTTCCACTTTGGAGTTGGCTCAGATTGACAGGATCATGAGTACATAGAACAATCGTGCTAATGGTAAAAAGTTTATACTCCAAAATTTGCTCAGATCGCCAGGATCTCAAGCACATAGAACAATCGTGCTGATAACGTGTTATGAATAATTATCCCAATGATGGGACTAAGCAACACCATTACCACGAAATAGAGGGGAAGGAGTAACACCGCTTTTATTATGCTTTTGTTCGGGGTGGTGGGCCAGCCCAACCAACCCGCTTAACGGCCTCTCTGCGTTCTTCTTTCACCTCTTCCCTATCTATGTCTTGGCTTTCCTGAACTCTGTGGCGCCAAATGCTTCCAATGGCTCTCTTCAAGCTACCTTCCTCATCTCTTCCTTTCCCCATCCCTCCCTCGCCCCTCAGTTCCAGACGAATTCCGCCTCCCTCGATCCTCACTGTTTCCTGCTCCAAATCGCCGTCGCCTTCCTCCTCCTCGTCTTCCACCCCCACCGGCAACAGCGAGAGCAACGAGAGTGAGACGTCGACGAGCAGGAGAAGGATATCGGAGCAGTCGTCATGGGAAGCTAAGGACTCCGAAGGCAAAGATTACCTCTACAGGTTGGGGAAAGAAGCTGATAACATGAACATTTCCGTCGGCGCTAGGGAAGGCGTCATCGACTCTCTCTTCACCGGAACTTTCCTCGGCAGGGACTGTGAGCGCTTCTCCACTTTGAATCTTTCCCGATTGCTTGCTTTCCTCCCTGATTTTCGAAATTTTGGTCGATTTTTGATTGTTCTGATTTTTTTGTTTCCGCCAGCGGATATTGTGTTCGATTACAGGCAGAAAGTGACGAGGTCGTTCGAGCATCTTCAAGGCGATTACTACATTGCTCCAGTTTTCATGGTTTGATTTCGCCCTGCAGTATTCTCAATTCACCTGGTTCGCTATGTCTAAGCCCTATGATTAGGAATGTCGCCGCCATTCTTATTGTGGTTTCTTTTCTTTTGCAACAGGATAAAGTTGGTAAGTGTTATTGGTTTCCAGAAACGGGGAAGAAACCTTCCTGAGTATTGTTGGTGTAAGAAAAGCAGATACGTTTGAAATTCAGCAGAGAGCTTGTTATGGATGAGCGGTTCATTTCACCATTATGCTCTTTAATCGTGTCATCATCTGCTTCACTTTTCATTGATAGATGAGCGACTTACTTCACTCTACTTATGCAGTCTGTCACATTGTAAAGAACTACATGGCTCATATCCTGAACGTCAACGTGCCGTTGATCCTAGGTACCCGTTCCAAACGTGATTCCGCTATAGCAAAAGTTATTGCCAGTCCTTGTTTGTTGGTTTGCCCTCTTTAAATGTTTAAGCTAGCCTTTCAATTATGGTTGAGCTGTGTGCTCATGGAGCTCCAAATTTCTGGAGCGTGGTCGTATTCTCAACATGATTCGACTAGGTCCCTTTCAGCATATTCTATACTTCGTAAGTGAGATATGCTTTTGACATTCTTGTAGTTCTTATTTACAGGTATTTGGGGAGGAAAAGGGCAAGGCAAATCATTCCAGACTGAACTTATTTTTCAAACCATGGGAATTGAACCAGTCATTATGTCTGCTGGAGAACTAGAGTCAGAAAGGGCAGGTAATAAGATGGATTTCTAGCTGTCTCAACTTGGGATGAGTAGTTTCGCATACATTGTTAATTACATGGGTGTTTCTATCTCTTACATGGTAATGAATCAGAAAACGAGTACTTAGTCATTCTAGCAAGCACTAGTTTTGCTTCCTTTTAGTCAGAATCAACTGTTACTATTGATCAATAGATCCACTTCAGGATTACATTTGATGAATTTGCTAAAATTAGTGCAAAAGCTATAACCCTAATAGCAATGAGAAAGAAGAATAGAAGATGGTTGACATGATATGGTGGAAAGATACTATTTGGTTGACATAATTGTCATGCCGCTGTAAACTGAAGTTCATGTTGATTCAAGAAAAATCGTGGAACCTCGAAAACAGAGGAAAGACTTTATGTCAAAATTCTTTTGAGCACTAAGCTCTGTGGGTGATGAGGGATATGAGAATAGTTTTAAGCAGTAGACGCTTGACTTCGGTATGCCATTTTTGTTTCTTCCACAGGAGAACCAGGAAAACTGATTCGAGAACGCTATAGAACTGCTTCCCAAGTGATCCAGAATCAAGTTAGAAGCTTTATTATTATGATCATTGGTATATGTATTTCTCATATATCAAATTCAGTAGCATCAGTTTTTCGGTCCTTGACACCGATCTTATAATCAGTGCGAAACACTGGTGTCATGAGTCTGTTGCTTTTACATGACTTAGATTGCTAGAATCTCTGGTATTTATTGCGATAAGAACAAGGAGGCTGCAATTCATGTCAAGACTTGCTAGCTGCAGTATATATAATCTGTTTTTGGTTGATTGATTAGAAGATCCCTTTGTATGCTGCTCGATTAAGCCAAGTACTCTCTTTTTACAGGGCAAGATGAGCTGTTTGATGATCAATGACCTTGATGCTGGTGTTGGTAGATTTGGTGAGCGGAAATCAATGCTGTAGACTATCTTCAGGCAGACATTTTTTTGGACTTCTATTTATTGGTGACATTTATATCCAGGAAACACTCAACATACAGTCAACAATCAAATTGTTATCGGGACTCTGATGAATTTGTCAGATAATCCTACGAGAGTCAGTGTTGGACAAGACTGGCGAACAGAAGATATCACAAACAGAATCCCCATAATTGTAACGGGAAATGACTTCTCAACTATCTACGCTCCATTGATTCGTGATGGGCGAATGGATAAGTTTTACTGGTAAAGTTTATTTTCATGCTTTCTTTTGATAAATATTCCACTGCTTATCTGGTTTTGATCGCTATACATCATATCACAATTGTACAGAAGTCAGGTGTGGTGATTGTTAGACTGCTCTAGAGTTTGGTGACTAGGATACTGTAGGCAAACCGTTGGTCCTTTTTTCTAGACCACCTCTGATATGATTCGCTCAATTAACCTGTTACTTTTAACTTTTCTAACAAGTAGAGTGATATTTTGCAGTTTCTTGCATACTAGAGTTTGTCTATGCATGCTGAGTGACATGTGGAATCCTTGTTATGTTATAGGCAGCCTACACAGGAAGACATATTCAATATTGTCAATAGAATGTATGAGAAGGATGGCATTCCGAAGGAGGAGGTTGCTAAGATTGTGAACTCATTTCCAAACCAAGGTATGTTTAACTTTCAATTTCTTGGCATTGAAACCATTGAAGCCACTATGGGAAGACATTTTACCTCTGCAGTCTTAACCAACCCCAGTGCTATTTACATCGGCCCAATCGCGCCCTCACGAACACAGACATAACTAACACAGAAACCAAATAGGAAATGCAGATATGCTGAAACATTTGAATAATCACAATTCTTGAAGTTGATAGGTAACATAGAAAGCCCTGGATTCCATAGTTCTCCTTTTCTCCAGCTATTACTGCTTTCCTTTTGCTATGTACATGTTAAGCATGTAAGTTGTCATGGATCAATCCTATGTTTTCTGGATTCTACTTTTCCATTCTCAACATGAAATCGATGATTGTCAAATCTGTCATAAGTATTTAAAAGTGAGTCAATGTTCTTTGGCATGATCTTTAGCAACCCTCAGTGAGAACTGCTTGTACTCTTATGTTTGCACCATCCTCACTATGCAAATGGTATTTACTTGTTGCTTTCTCTGGATAACCATCTGTTTCTCTCATGTGTGGGCTGACCAGCTTTGGACTTCTACGGTGCTCTAAGGTCTCGAACGTATGATAAAGCAATTTCTAAGGTATTGGCCGTTATCATTTGAAACGTAGAGTACAAGTATTTGTTTTGGTCAGTTCATGTTCTGCATTTCCAAAGTATTTTGAGCCATTGTGAAAATCGTCAGAGTAGAACTCGGTTCATGGCCTCCATAATCCTGGTTTTGCATATCCCCTGCATTTAGAATTTCCTCTATCAGTTTTACAACACTCGGTATGGACTGCATTTATACTAGATGTGTACAACCCTAACCCAGTAGTCATTGCAGTGGGTTGAAGAGAATGGAGGCATGGAAAAGGTTGGCCCCAAACTTGTACGACGAAAAAGGAATGAGGAACTCCCTGTTTTCACTCCGCCCGAGGTATGCAGACATTTTGCACTTTGTATTCCGGGTTTCGGTTAACTTATCAATGGTTCCTAGCACCAGGTCTGGACAAGTTCATCAATTCTGGTCATGCTTATGCAAGTGGTTTGTACTATTCTTTTCTTTCATTCTGTTCATTGTTTTCGTTGTGTTGTTTCTTGGCTGTACAGCAAACACTAGAGGCTCTGATGGAAGCTGGTCACTCTCTCATAAGAGAACAAGAGCTTATAATGAAGACTAAACTCTCCAAGGAATACATGAAAAATTCGGATGATTAGTAGCCTGTTGGTTGCTTGGATTCATGTCGAGGAAAAACTATCAGATAAAAACTGATTCAGAGGTAACTATCTACTGTATGTATTGTATTAACAGTTTTGGTATGGTTGTATATATATAACATAATTATCTGGAATTTTCCTTGTACCATTTTTGTGTGAACTGTGAAGAACATTAATTGTTTACCGATCCTCAGCCACATTCGACTTTCCCTATGAACCTGGATAATTTTTAAGAAAACAATAGGTAAATCAAGTGGTCTAACTAGAAATGGTGTATTCCAATTTCCAAGAACATGCATTCAATTTATGTGTCTAATGCTTTCTAAAAATACATTGTTTGATAAACATAAAAAAGTGCATTTAACATTATTTGAATGCATGGATACAAAATATCACCAAAATGATTAGATACAAAGTACATTATGTTTTATGTATTAAGAAGGCATCATGAATTCTCTAGACGTACATCCTACGTCTAAATGGTTTAATAAAGCACTTAACATGATGTATGTATTTGAGCATACCATTTAAAATTGAAGATTCCAAACGACTCTCAAGTCGAGTGTGTTCCCTAGTCTACTGGTTTATTTCTCTGCTTACTTACGAACTGTAAGGGCCATGACGATGGGCTGGGTTCTGTAGTTTATCTGCCCAACATCACTCATGGGCTCCAGTGGCCCTCAAAGGTTTAGCTTCTTTCATGGCCCAGAGGTTAGAATTGGTCGTGGGAGAGGGTTGAATTTGATGATGACAAACTGAATGAAGATGTGTTGGCGAGAACCTCTGGATGATAGCTGCATGTTGATGATCCCACTCTGGATGAAGACGTGTCAGGCTTCGAGAGGAGCTGAACTGCAACTCTACTCTAATATGTCGATGACCGAGGTTCCATGTCAACTGAATACCTTCCATAACGCCTCTCAACTTTGCCCGAGTAATGGAACACATACCTAGGTTGCTAGCGAATGCTGCTAAGTAGCATCCTGTATGATCTCGCAGCAAACTACCTGCAACAGCATGGTTTGGATCAGTATGAACGGAGCTGTTGGTATTGAGAGAAACCCACTCGGGAGATGGCGGCTTCCATGAGATCTCCATCTCCGTTCTTATGTGTCGGCTAGGCATATGGGTGAGCCTCTCCTTATCCATGGCATTCCGCACGACATTTATCCATGTCAGGGCGCTCTATAAAATGTCGTTGCTTAATTAGGAGGGCAACAAATTATGAATCGAGCATAGTTCTAAACCAAACATCTTCAAATTATAGCAATGTTTCGAGATAGTTAGATTTACAAACGTAGAAAATAAATTTATGCTTCTATGTTGTGTCATTTTTACTTGTTGAACTTAAGGGTCCAACCACCTCTTGAATTGGTGAACAAACTATGTAAATGAGTAAAGTTGGTAAAAGGAGAGTGGAGAATACGGTTTCATTGAGTTGAATGAGTTTTGTTGGGCTTTGTTCCGACTGAAGCAAACTAGTGATTAATAATTTTACAAATAAGTTTTCATAATCATTGTTATGAACTTTATTCTTTTAATCAAATACACTTATTCCCCCAACGGTTTACTTTTATGACAAAAATTTTGCAATTTTTTAAAATACGAACCCTCGAATTGATACCAAAAGTTTAACGGTAAAGAATGTCAAACTCATGTCATGTGAAGTAAGGAGCGGATATGGTACTAACACCATTTGTATTAATGTTGATAACTATTGATTAATAAATAAGAAACAAGAGTTTGATAGACTAATTTGTTACGATTAATCAAAATTTCATTAAGTACAGGTCAACCCAAATCAACTTGAGCCTCTTTTCCATTGTTTACAACCCCTCGCAGGACCATCATTACTACGATTTTTTTTAACACTAAGCAAGTAAGAAATTACCACTATTCTAGCTTCAATCTATCCCGACTACTTTGCAAGCCCACATCTTAGGCAACAACACATCTCACCATGTTGTTGATAACCTCAGGCATCTCTCCCTCCAGACATAACTAACAACCAATACCCATATATTGTCTTCAGCACGTTTGCCGCCGGATACTCTTGACCATGCGTTTGGCAGAAACTGATGCAATTGTGTTTCCTCCACCAGTCCACAGTACGGGCAATCTAGACTCAGATCGACTCTTTTCTTTGCGAGATTGATATTTATAGGTAGAATGTTGCACATGATCTCCAAAGGAATAGTTTGGCATTCCAGCCTATTATCCTGCTTCTTGTATGTGCTTTCATGTAGGCGAATACCACTTTCTTTGATCGCCCTAAAATCATGGAGAGGCCAAGATATTTTTCATGTTTGGAGACCTCTCTAATTCCCAAGCTACTTACAATCTCCTCCATCTTCTGTTGACCCACATTATTGATGAAAGATAATTCGGACGTGCTAAGATTTATTATCTGACCTGATTCCAATTCATAGCCGTGTAGAATCATCTTCGACTTCATGTACTTGCCCTCTTGATGGCATGCTCTAGTAAAGAAGACTCAATCATATGCAGACAATAGATGTGAAACAATGGGGGGCCTTACGACACTGTAGTTCCATGCCATTTACCTTTCTTTTCAGCTTTCTTCACCATCGAGGACAAGCCCTCCGCACATAATAGAAAGAGATAGGGTCGCCCTTGCGCAACCCTTTTTTTGGCCTAACGGTTTCTGTTTTATGATGATTAACTAGCAATGAATAAGTCACTGACGATATACAAGCCATTATAAACTTTATCTTTATTTCGACGAAACCCAACTTCTCCATACCTTATTCAGAAAGAACCACTCTATCGATAATATGCTTTTTCCTTGTCGAGTTTTGCTGCAACTTACCTTTGTTTGATACTTTTGTCCTTTTTTTCATAGAGTGGTAACACTCAAATGCTGTAAGGGCATTATCATATATTGATTTACCTGGTACAAGCACACTCTGGGTATTCGAGATGACTTTACCTTGGATCACCTTTAGTTGGTTGGCAAATACATTTGATAAGATCTTGTATAGGACATTGCATAAGTTGATGTGATGAAAATCATTGGGTGGCTTTGGAGATTTTACCTTCGGGATCAAGCATATTAGTGAGTGATTGAGTTGGTTTGGAACCTGCCCCGTTTCCAGGTAGTAGAGTAGTTCCTCAGTAACTTGTGTTCGAATTGTTTCCCACTGTGTCCTATGAAAGCTACCGGAAACCCATCCTCCCTTGGGGCTTTAAACGAACCCATCTGTTGTAATACTACTTCAATTCTCTTTTTTTTTTTTTTTACAAAAGAATATCATATATGGATTCAAATATAGGTAGTTACCTCCTGGAATTCAGCCAGACCTGAAAACCAAAGAAACGACTCGCAATTGGGTACAATGAGAGGGTCTTTCTAGCCACCAAATGTGCTATCCTATTACTACTCCGACCTACAAATCGAATACTAAACCCAATATGAATTGAAAAATAATGCACAATTTCCTCAAGTATAGCCCCCATTCGATTATCGTTAATATCAGCCTGTTTGATCTTCTCGATGACCACTCTGACATCTCCTTCAAACCTCATTTACGTAAAGCCATGGTCTAGACACCATAGAATAGCCTCCCAGAGAACGAGCAACTCAACCACCATAGGGTCATCAATTCACGAAAACTGGACCCCCTACCCCCTCCCCCCCACCACACCAAAAGGATTTCCCTAGCTAGGTTCATGATAATCATCCCGCCTGCCGAATGGGACCCACACCTTGTTGCCCCATCCCACATACAAACAACCAAGTTAGACCCACAAGGTCCCAAGGTATGTATCAGAGGGATGGGAGAGGGGATTACTGGATCCACCGGCAAACTTACTCACTCCTAGTACTGTTGATGAAACTGCCTCATCAAGACTGGGATCCTGAACTGTTTATCCTCAAAGACCAACCAGTTGCGGGAACGCCAGATCCTCCAGAGAACAGCAACAACTGCCATGAACAAAGCAGGTTGATGTATGAGCGCCAACAACTTTTTTAGAAAAAAGTGGGAATGTATGACGAGGAAATCGTTGGCCCAGATATTCAAACCCCGTATGGTCCCAGAGAGCACGAGCCACCGGAAAATGAAGAAACAAATGTTCCATTGTTTTTTACTCCGTCCAACAAACTGGGCACCTGGGAAGCACAAGGACGTCCTTCTTGATTAGGGCTTCTGTTGTTGGCAGAATTCGGTTAAAGATTTGCTAGACAAATACTTTCAGCTTGGATGTTAGCCTCCCACAAATGAATCCAACTAGCCCTATCCATCCAACTGGCCATAGGGGTGGGCACTGGGCAATGAAAATGGGTATTTGGGTAATACCCAAACCCTTCCCCTTTTTTTTAGGGTTACGGGTACCCAAATACCTGTAATATTTAGTACGGGATGAGACTTGAGATTAACAATTTCAACATAAGGTACCCGTGGGTTACCCTCTAATACCCGTTTGGGTAGGGACTCACACGAAACTACACCACAAGAAAACCCCAATTAGAGCCCAAGTTTTTAAACTCTAATCGGGTGCAGTATATGGCAAGTATTTAGATATCGACCCGGGCTGGTCCGTCTACCCCTATTTCAGTTGTTGAAATCATTATCTAGCAAAAAAACTTTGGTTTAAAAGTTTGCTAATTGAAATAAAAGAAAACAAAGGTGATTGGGTTTGAAAACTCTTTTGTGGGAAACTCACTCGGGTGTCGCTTCCCCCCTAACCGCTACCATGCTATGTGAATTGGAACGATGCCTTTGGGCACGATAATCGCGAACCGCAGAGAGATGCATATGTTGTCGGAGACCGCATCTCAATCTCTAAACCGAGGTAGGGATGAAAGGCCGTGTCACTCGACCCTCTCGGTTTACACAATCGGTAATTGGCTTACCCCCTCACTCAACTCTATGGTCGGACGGTTTAATCACGATTAATCGACTGCTTAACTCAATATTGAGGGTCGCCCTAACTTAACCTAGTTTAGGTGGCTTAGAAAGCGAAAGTAAAACCAACTAGATTGAGTCTCCCTTGAAAGGGGGATTTTCCTCTCTAAGCTAGGCTAAGGTGGCAAATTAGATTACTAGCACCTAAATTCACAAACCTAGGGGTGCTAAGCACAATTATGCACAATTCTTAGGTTGTTAAGCACCTAAATGCACAAACCTAAGGATGCTAAGCACAAAACATGCACAACCCCTAGATTGCTAAGCACAAGTATGCACAATCATGATAAATAATGCCTCAATCATTGAATTTAACAATACCCAATGA